TGTATTACATTACATTTCTAAGTTTACTAGGTTTGTTTTCTCTTTTATTCATACCTGATGACGGTTGCTTGTGTTGCTGTGTGCAGATCAAGCATGTTGGCTTTCCATTAACCTCCATGAATAGCAATTCCTCTTTTGTTGGACAACTCTATACTCAGTTTATCACATAGGCTTTCGTGACCAATATCCATAATAAAGCTTTCTTATTATTAAACCGCCTAAATACAAATGTCGTTAAACCCACCACCACACGACACAGCCAATTAGTAAAGGTTCTCACGTGAACAAAACGTGCTAATTCTTTATTAGTTCAGGACACCGGTGAGTTGGAGAGTAAACCCACAACGACGTTTCGCTGGTGATTAAAACTAGCTTCGTCAGGTGATAGCCAGAGGCCAGATTACACTTGCTGATGCATGATAGCTGTTTCACATTTTCCTTGACACATTTCTTCCTGTTCCATCGTGAGGCAATCACTAACGTGTATTTGTATTCCATGCCTGTGGCTACAGTGACCACACTGTTATTCCATCTACTAGCTTGTCACTATCAATTAGGACTTCACACTCCCCTCACTTTTTTTTGAAACTCTGGGCAGATGTAAGTGGAACACCAAATAAACAAATTTCTCAGACTGTTCAGCAGCTTCCATAACCCCGCTTGCTCATCTCATCCAGAAGAGCTTGTGAAGAGATTATAACGGTATAATTTACATCCGGTTGGAACATCCACGTTCTAAGCCAAACTATGTACGACACTTGGTCCCTGACTTAATCCTTTTTCTGCACGTCGAGTTTGCGATCCTGCACATGGCTCCATTTGATATATAAAATCGTTCATGTCTGTCTGTCTGTGTGTGGACTTTGGCCCATACGCACTTTCATTGGACGGCGGTTGCCCCTGGCAACGGCTAGCCACGCCTTCGCCGCTTTCATTGGACCTGGCAACGGCTAGCCACGCCTTCGCCAAGGGCTGCAGTTTCATTGGACGGCGGTTGCCCCTGCCAACGGCTAGCCACGCCTTCGCCACTTTCATAAGCTCCGTATTTAATTAAATAATAGCCATTACACAGTATTGTTGGAGCGCTAGGGGGGGGGGGAAGGAACGCCACCCGTACCCTGCCTCTTCCAAGCCGACAATTTTAGGCGAGGCCGCAGGCTTTGCACGCTACTAGGCCTCGACACCCACCCCGCCACTCTGAGGTAAATTCATCAAAGTTTTTCCTACTCTTCACTACACCCCCACCACAATGTGTGCTATTAATATTACTTTTAAACCCAACGCGCCAACAATCGATTACTTTAATGTTCACTGTACAAATACTCATTAAGCTGGGTGAGCGTACTGCCAGTCTATCATGTACACTGTAGCCTGCTTATTAAGCTCGGTGAGCGTACTGCCACTCTATCATGTACACTCTAGCCTGCTTATGAAGCTGAGTGCGTGTACTGGCAGTCTATAATGTGGACTCTTGCCTGGTTATTATAATCGATTCTTTATATGTTCTTTGTACAAACAGTCATTAAGCTGCTTGAGCGACCCCAGTTCGATTCCAACTCACGCCCACCACCGCTGACGATTATTTGAAACGGACCTGGCCCTCCCCTAGGTCCACTCAGCCTCAAAAGCGTAACTGCTGTCGTGTGTGAACATCGTCACTGGGGAGACAAAGGCGGCGGGGCATCGTGGATCCAAGTCCCGGGCGAAGCCGGGTTATGTGTATGTGTGTTTGTGTTTATGTGTATGTCTGTGTGTCTCTATGTATGTGTGTATGTATGTGTATGTATGTGTATGTGTGTGTATGTATGTGGGTTTTTTTATGTCTTTATGTGTATGTCTGCGTGTCTCTGTATGTGTGTATGTACGTGTGTGCATGTGTTTGTGTGTATGTATGTGTGTGTCTATGTATGTGTGTGTCTATGTATGTGTGTGTATGTGTGTGTATGTATGTGTGTTATGTGTCTGTCTGTGTCTGCATGTATGTGTGTGTGTATTGTGTATGTGTTTGTGTGCATGTATGTGTGTGTTTGTGTGTATGTGTATGTCTGTGTGTATGTGTTTGTGTGTATGTGTATGTATGTGTGTGTATGTGTTTGTATGTGTTTGTGTGTTTACGCTCGCATTACACAAATGTGTTGCTGGTCTAAGGCGTTCCTCGCACAGCATTGCCGCTTTATTATTTCAGTCGTTTACTGCCTTACGCACCCTGAAAGTCGTGTGTGTCTGCAGCAAGCGCGTGTATGTGTACCTATGGACGCGCGCGCGTGTGTTGTGTAGGGGGAACGGTAGTGTAGTGCTTAGCGTGCTGTCTGTGTCTGTGTGTGTGTGTCTGTCTGTGTCTGTCTGTGTGTGTCTGCGTGTGTCTGTGTGTGTGTCTGTGTGTGTGTGTGGTGTGTGGGGAGCGGTAGTGTAGTGCTTAGCGTGCTGTCTGTGTGTCTGTGTGTGTGTGTGTCTGTCTGTGTCTGTCTGCGTGTGTCTGTGTGTGTGTCTGTGCGTGTGTGGTGTGTGAGGAGCGGTGGGTGTAGTGCTTAACGCTACGCTGCGCTACCAACCCGGCGAACCCAGTTCCATTCCCGCTCACGGCCACCACCGGTGACGATTATTTGAACCTCCCCTAGGTCCACTCAGCCTCAAACGAGTAACTGGTGTGGCGTATTAACATCGGCACTTGGGAGACAAAGGCGGCTGGGCGTGGTAGATCCAAGTCCCGGGCGAAGCCGGGTCATGTGTATGTGTTTATGTGTATGTCTGTGTGTCTGTATGCATGTGTGTATGTATGTGTGTGTATGTGTTTGTGTGGGGAGCGGTAGTGTAGCGGTTAGCGCGCTGCGCTATGAACCTGGCGACCCGGGTTCGATTCCCGCTCACGGCTAACACCAGTGACGATTATCTGAACCGGTCCTGGGCCTCCCCTAGGTCGACTCAGCCTTAAATGAGTACCTGGTGCGGTGTGTAAACATCGCCACTAGGGAGACAAAGGCGGTCGGGCGTGGTGCTGGCCACCCACCCCCTCGTGTACCGTTCCGGCCTTCATAGGTGCTCGCTAACAGCACTTGCCCCTACAGTCTGTTCAGGCTATACGGGGGATCTTTGTATGTGTTTGTGTGTATGTCTGTGTGTGTATGTATGTCGGTTTTGCCGCCGTGGTGGATCCAAGTCCCGGGCGAAGCCGGGTCATGTGTATGTGTGTATGTGTTTATGTGTATGTCTGTGTGTCTGTATGCATGTGTGTATGTATGTGTGTGCATGTGTTTGTGTGTATGTATGTGTGTGTGTATGTATGTGGGTTTTTTTGTATGTGTTTATGTGTATGTCTGCGTGCCTGTATGTATGTGTGTATGTACGTCTGTGGATGTGTTTGTGTGTATGTATGTGTGTGTCTATGTATGTGTGTGTATGTGTTTCTGTGTTTGTATGTGTGTGTATGTATGTGTGTTATGTGTCTGTCTGTGTGTCTGCATGTATGTGTGTGTGTATTGTGTATGTGTTTGTGTGTGTTTGTGTGTTTACGCTCGCATTACACAAATGTATAATGCGGGTCTAAGGCGTTCCTTACACAGCATTGCCGCTTTATTATTTCAGTCGTTTACTGCCGTATGCACCCTGAAAGTCGTGTGTGTCTGCAGCAAGCGCGTGTATGTGTACCTATGGACGCGCGCGCGTGTGTTGTGTAGGGGGAACGGTAGTGTAGTGCTTAGCGTGCTGCCTGTGTCTGTGTGTGTGTCTGTGTGTGTGTGTCTGTGTGTGTGTCTGTGTGTGTGCGTGTGTGGTGTGTGGGGAGCGGTAGTGTAGTGGTTAGCGTGCTGTCTGTGTGTGTGTTTCTGTCTGTGTGTCTGCGTGTGTCTGTGTGTGTGTCTGTGTGTGTGTCTGTGCGTGTGTGGTGCTTAACGCTACGCTGCGCTACCAACCCGGCAAACCCAGTTCGATTCCCGCTCACGGCCACCACCGGTGACGATTATTTGAACCTCCCCTAGGTCGACTCTGCCTCAAACGAGTAACTTAACTACTGTAGCGTATTAACATCGCCACTGGGGAGACAAAGGCGGCCGGCCGTGGTAGATACAAGTCCCGGGCGAAGCCGGGTAGTACAGCTAGTTTGATATATAAATCAAGTGAAAGATACAAGACTATATCTTGTAGCCAGTGGATCGCCTTCCATCTTATGAATTGTTTTCAACCATGCCTGCAGAAATACTCAACCATCAATTCGTCGATTGCAATATGCTCAGATATTGGCAGTCTTGTTGATCTTGTTGAAACTCAAAAAATTGGATGACTCTTGAAGAAAGGGTTACTTGTGATTTTGGTATTGTTGACATAGATCGAAGACATATCGTCAGTTATGCTAAAAATTACATTACGCTGTAAGACAAATTGATTTATCCCAAGTACATTTTGTTGGAAGAAAAGTTATGGTGGATCTAAAAAAGTCATGTAGAGAAAACTCGCTGAGAATTTTTTTTACATTGTTTTGGGGAAAGGGCTACAATTGACAGGGTAATTATATACATTCATTAGTTAAAACAAATGAAAGCAAGATTTTATGAATGCATTTACAAGAGTAAAATTAAAAAAATCTCGGCATGTTATCTGTGGACTGACTATTGTGACCATGTGCAATTTTGATTTGCTTTTGAAAATAGGCTACGAGTTTCATGCTGTTAGGGCCTGCCTGATTCTAGATTAGTTATACAGTAGGTCGAGTAAATACAAATACATTTGGCATAAAAAGTTACTATAACCTCACACATCCATAAATCATGAAAGTTCGACGAAGGCTAAGCCATGACTCCTCAAAGAAGCACCTTGGGAAGTGGATGGAATCACGTGATGAACAGGAATACAATCTTCCAGAGACAGGAAAACGGTACAGCAGCATAGACTTTGGCAAACGTTTGTAACCCGGTGGGAGCTTTGGTTAAAACAAAACATTTCCGGGCCTGGAGGTAAAACCTCTGTCGTGACACCACTGTGCCGACCGCTGCCCCGACGACCATTGCCCAGGGGCGACGTGTGAGGCGAGCAGCAGCAGCGAGGTAAGGCTCCGTGTGGAACTCCTCTCCGCCTCTCCAGGGCTCATGGAGCCTCGTGCATTCGCGGCGCAACCGCGCCCGGTGCGCGTCCACAGCGCGGAATCGGCTCAAGCGGCGGCGGAGTTTGAACTCCGCCGCCTCTCGATGCCGGCGAGCAAACTCGCGAGTGCAAACTGCCCCGTCGCCCGCACCTCGCAACGCCCGGGGGTAACGCGCGCCTCTCTCGGCCGCGACGCCGCCGCCGTGGAGGCATCCAGCACTGGCTGCTGCTGTTGCTGCTGTTGGGACACGCGCTTGGTTAGCCAGCACGCTTGGAAGTCGGCACGCCACACGAGGGGGGAGGTTGGTGGTTGTTGGTGTTTTACACACCGGTGCTCAATTGAGGCTGAATTGATTAAAAAAAACATGCAGGACCAGGACCGGTTCACGATATTATTCGCCGCTCCGTGACCGGGAATTGAACTCAGGTCGCGGGGTGAGTTGCACCAGCCTGCTTTGCCATTGCACCACCACCCACACGAGAATGCACACTCAAGGTAAGTTAAGATAAAACTGAAAATGTAACTATGTTACTTTATTTCATTTTCGCTACAGTATTTTTTATATACAAACGTACAATATTTTTTCTCATTTATGAGTTTAACAATGCTTTCCTTTTTTATTGAACCTTAACACATTTCGTAACAATGACCTATGTGAATTTAAATATAGTGCATTATTGTACTCCGACTTAACTTACGAACGGGCCCCGGGAACCAATTATGTTCGTAAGTCAAGGACTGTCCATAAGGTAAAGTGCTGTATACAATCTTCACGTGTCATTGCGTGTTTGCTGTTTGGCAATTGACACCCGAACGACCGTGCAAAATGAGGTGCTTCATCTCAAGTGATCATCCAGGTTAAATGTATCAACAAAAAATAACGACCGGTTCGATGCGGATTGGTCGAGAGGCCTTCACCTCGCAATGGATGACACGGGCGATACATTATAAGGGGCCGTCCATAAATCACGTCACTCGATTTGGGCCGATTTTTTACCCCCCCCCCCTCGTCACACGGCGGCACAAAGTCAGACCCCCCTCAAATATGCCGTCACAAAGCTCTGCCCCCCCAAAAACCATATTTCCATTTTGAAAATAAAACATGCTTCAAATCACTTTCAACTATTGTCATTGTGCGTATTTAATGTGGTGCTGCACTCTGTTGTAGGAGAAAACATGTATTAAAAATAAGGCGTTGCAAAGCAGAAATTTTGCATAAAATTAATTTTAAAATATCTAACTAAAACTGCAGATGTTCAGAATATGATATTGAAATTCTCTTATGATTATCAAATATTAAAAGTAATTATAACTATTAAAAAAATACTTGAAACTTTGTAGTAGAACGAAGCAAAATGGAGAGTACAATTATAACAATCACATATTCATTCCACAGAATGAAAAGCCCTGGTAGAATCATTAGATAAAAAATGTTTAATAACAATAATTCAAAAAAATTATACAATTTATGCATATCCATTCTCCCATGGAGAAACAAAATGCTCCTTCATAGAATAAATAGGGAGAGTATGGATCTCTTCATCCTGTGGAATGGATATTCCATTCAGATCAAGCTCTTCTTCGTCTATCCCAGCGGTCGGGAACCTATGGCTCGCGAGCCATATATGGCTCTTCCGGTGACGGCATATGGCTCCCAGACAATTTTGAGTTGAAAAAAATAATAATAAAAAAATCAGTTTGGAACTGATTTTAAAATACTTGTGGTATTGCTTAATAATACTGTGTCATTTTAAAGTAAACAGAAATTAGTTTTGAAGATAAAATTTCTCGGGTCACGGATCCCGTGACCAGAAGTTGCATTAAAAGTAAGACATATTTAATCTATTATACGTTAAAAATACTATATGGCTCTCAATGAAATATATTTAGAAATATTTGGCTTTATGGCTCTCCCAGTCAAAAAGGTTCCCGACCCCTGGACTCTATCCAATCTGCACTCTCTCAATTTTCTTCGTTCACCCATTACAACCATTAGTTCACGTTGCCGATGTGCAGCAACTCTCTGTGACCTGATGCGTTTGGGCGGAATAATAATTGATTCCTGCTTGTGTGATACAGAGTGGCTGTGCAGCATGACTAACGACGCGAAGTATGTGTGACATTTCTTGCAAATTCTATCGCTATTCACAGATTGTATTGACGGACAGTACAAGTCATATGGAATCGACCGATAAGGATTTGAAGAGTGAGGAAGGATGTTATCCACTTTCAAACTTTGTGCTGCAAACAGAGAGGGGAATTTATGAGATGCTCCGTCTGTTGTCCAATCTGGAATTTTAATACAGGGCCTTTTCGAATTTAATCGGCTTCCGATGGGGCTCCGCGCTGGCTACGTTCCAATGATTGATGGAGTTGGTCCTAGATGGACTGCAGTGGGACTCATGCTTGATATACCTCGACGATGTTATCGTCTTCAGCCGTATATTCGACGAACATCTTGATCGGTTACGTGCTGTCCTTCTCAAAATGCGTGCGGCAAATCTCAAATTTAAGTCCCAAAAATGTCACCTGTAAAAATCCGTGTGGTATCTTGGTCACATTGTCAGTAAATCGGGCATTGCAACGGACCCTGAGAAAACAGCGTGTGTTCGGACTTGGCCGACCCCCACGTCGGTGGGGGAGTTGCGAAGTTTTATAGATCTAAATTAAGTTTTATAGGATTCGTGTCTTATTATCACCGTTTTGTTGCCGGGTTTGCTACCATCGCGAAACCCCTCCACGCCTTGACGGCTCAGGTTCAGAAGTTTCATTGCGCAATTAAAAAAAATTTGCACGTAAAATACTAAATCGTGCACATGATATACTCAATCGTGAGAGGTTGCATTTTTTCATTTCCATAAGGGAACTGTAGTTAAATCAAAGATCCTAAATGGTTCAATTCAGTCCCTCATGGTTCATAGTCGGACAATGGCGAAAAGAAGCATGACGCCATTTTCTGGGCACAAAGAACTAAAATTTAATGGAGGAATAACACTGGTCAACAAAAATAATAATTCTGGCCTGGACTTTTGCAGCTGTTTTAGACTACTTTCAGGGTGCTGATTCCAAATCTGATCTCAGATTTGCTCTATCACATTTTTATGCTATTGGCATACCCCATTTTCATTGATTTTACCTGAAATTAATTCTGTCACTTATGATTGCAAGTTGTTGCGAGTCAGTGACTGCTTTAGTGTTAAAATATGGTGCTGTATTTTTAGGATAGTGTGTTTATAATATAATTTTATGTAGATATCCACATTTATTTCCCAGATATCTTTTGCTACATCTGTGGCAGCTTCACTTTGCAGGATCAAAGGCACAACATCAATACCTTTGTCAAGAAGGTTTATCTTGCCTACTTTAAAGTACGACTTAGAGACCAAGACAAAAATTGGGCTCCTCACAGAGTGTGTAAACCCTGTGTTGAAACTTTGCGATCATGGTCTAAAGGAAAGAATGCTAAGCTGAAGTTTGGTGTGCCAATGGTTTGGAGAGAACCTACAAACCATTTGGATAACTGCTACTTCTGCCTTGTTTAAAAGGTTTCAATAAGAAAAACAAACAACACTTACGATACCCAGATATCCCATCTGCCAGACGACCAGTTAAGCACTGTGAGGAAATACCTGTGCCTGTATTTACTGAGCTACCAGAGATTGATGTTGAATCCCTCAGTTTACCTGCTTCTACAGATGATGATGATGCTCAGATCGAATATACGCCATCTGATGCAGATTGTGATGACATTTCTCTGTTTAGTCAGCCTGAATTGTATGATCTTGTAAGAGATTTCTATTTGCCAAAGCAGTCTGCTGAATTGTTGGCTTCCAGGCTGCAAGAGAAAGGATTACTCAGACCTGGCACGAGTGTCTCCTTTTATCGTAACAGAGAAGCAGCACTGCGAAAGTACTTCCATTCAGATGGTCAACTTGTTTATTGTAATGATGTTGAAGGGCTTCTTCTCAATATGGGACTGCCCGCATATGATTCAAGTGAATGGAGACTTTTTATTGACAGTAGTAAAAGGAGTTTGAAATGTGTGTTACTTCACAACAGAAATATATATGGTTCAATCCCAATAGGACATTCTGTAAAAATTATTGAAGAGTATGCCAACATCAAGATTGTTCTGGATAGATTGGAATACCATGTTCATGGATGGCTAATTTGTGTTGATTTGAAAATGGTTCATTTTCTGCTGGGTCAGCAAGGAGGTCACACCAAATACCCTTGTTTCCTGTGCTACTGGGACAGTAGGGCTACATTAGAACACTGGGTTAAAAAGAACTGGCGACCAAGAATCAGTTTGACACCTGGTGACAAGAACATCAAGAAATAGCCTCTGGTTGATAGGAATAAAATTGTATTTCCCCCACTGCACATAAAACTTGGGTTAATGAAGCAATTCGTCAAAACTCTCTATCACACTGGAGACTGCTTCAGCTATATATGTTCAACCTTTTCAAGTCTCAGTGCCGAGAAGAAAAAGGCAGGAATATTTGATGGCCCTCAAATAATAACACTCATCAGGGATCCACACTTTGTTACAACAATGACTGTGGCAGAGGCTAGAGCTTGGAATGCATTCTCTGATGTGGTGTGGAATTTCCTTGGGAACAGGAAAGCGGGCAACTATCGAGAGATTGTGGAGGAGCTGCTTTTGAGTTTTCAAGCACTTGGATGTAGAATGAGCATCAAGGTTCACTACTTAGATAGTCACTTGGCCCAGTTTCCAGAGAACATGGGTCACGTGAGCGAAGAGCAAGGTGAACGCTTTCATCAAGACATTAAAGTTTTGGAAGAACGTTACCAAGGCCGATGGGACTCAAACATGATAGCAGATTACTGCTGGTCCTTGATGAGAGACATACATTGGAGATCGTCAAAGAAGAGGTGGTATATGCAGATGTAACATCACTATTGTGAATGACCTTTTTGTACATATTTTTCTTATCTTCATAATTCAATTCTTACATGGTAATATGCATTCACTCACATTGATATGCAGTCACTCTCACAACTTTGTGCTACGGCTCATTAAATGTTTGTTTCATTATTATTGTATATTGTATCTTATCTTATTCTTGTATGGATGTCTGTTTAGCTATTCGTATATGAGCATACATTTTCTGTTTTTATTGAAAATGCTATATTTTATATCTCAAAAACCTGATGTGATAGACAAAAACTGATTCCAGATTTGGAATCAGCACCCCAAAATTACCTTAAACCCGTTGGAATACCTTATGCCAGAAAAAGTGTGTTGACCAGTGTAATTAATCATGGAGGAAGTGTTGGCTATTGTACGCTTGACGAATGACATATATTTAGTAGGTACTCCATGATTAATTATCCCTCCATGCTAAAAAATGGCTGTTTGATATCTTTGTACCCAAAAACTTTTCTTTTTATTATAAATGTTATCGTAACATAATAGTATAAAACTGATATTTTAAATTAATATTTAATAAACAAATGTGTGTGATTAAAAATTATGTCGATTGATATGACAGGAATAATAGTACTTACGTTTTTAAAATTCTTATTCGAAACTGTCAAGCGTTTTTAATATAACGACTGCATTAAAATTTTATTTGCACTTCCTGACGAAGTATTCTTTCTTTTTTTCTTCTTTTCTTTCTTCTCTTTCTTATATATAAAAGTTTCAAACAATGGGGTTAATGTCGAATTTTTTTTGCCAGACAGCACGCCCTAAGCCCCGCGTTGGGAATAGGCTATTTTTCACGTCTGACACCTTTAAATTAGTTACATTAGAGTTTTTTTGGATATTTTTATTAAATTATTTAGTTAGCTTAACTACTATTTATTTATTTCCCTTCGCCGCGCGCTGGGTCACAACGCAGCCAGCTGCACTTGCGCACAGCGCCCACGAGCTTACCCCCTGGCAATCCACACGCGCCATCGCCCAAGGTAAGTCTCACACTTTTGCATTATATGCATTCATATAAGACCTAAGTCCCACAAATGAGTCTTATAAGCATTTATCTCATTACACTTTGCACTGCTCACATGGGTTGCCCCTAGCAACGCACACACGATCGCCACAAATTTTAATTCGCCTTACACATGCAGCAAAACACCAAATACGTACATTCTTCACAGTGTGATGTCCTCTTCTCCCCACCCCACCCCAATGATACCGCAATGCGTCCTGAAACAACTATCAGTCCCTCCAGAAAAACGCGATTATGCGATCGCATGATTCCATGCAAAATCAGCCAAAGTCCGCATATTTATGCGGGGGGCGCGTTTTTTCAAATACGCCGCACTTTCGCCGCATAAATTGCAGATTTCCGCGCGCAAAATATGCGGGCTTGCATGATTTCATAATCCCCGCATTTTCATTGCAAAAAGTCACATATCTTAGCAGAAAGTTGAAAAATGTTGCGTTTACTTCACACAAGCGCAGCCATTTCCCCTGTTGCCATGGGAACGTTATGAAGTGACGTCACTCATTACGCGACATCATTGAAAAGCTGCAAACCCCGCGATGCCAATGAAACCATGATGAAGCCCGCAAATCTTTCTCATTTGCCAACAAACATAAGCGCAAAAGACCGCGCAAAGCAGTTTCCCAGTGTGTTACATGACAGTGGGGGCAAATTATTTTGCACTCCGTGCAACTGCGTGTTGGACCACAGGAGGAAGTCGACGCTGGACAGTCACTTTGCAACCGACAAACATTTGAGGATGGTTAAAGCAGCAGCGGAATCAGCAACAGCATCTACAAACTAGTGTTGTCTAACCGAAGAAGATCAACTACCAACCAAAACCTCAAAGCCTTGGTCTTCCTTCTCCATAACCAATGAGTCTGCAGTGGAGCATTTGAGAGGGAGGAGATGGTGGAGGGGGAGGAGATGGACACTGAGGGAGAGGGGATGGAGGATGAGGATGGTGAATGATTGGCCAGTGTTAGAGGCTACGTAGTTAGTTTTATTCAGGAGTTTATGCAACTTTACAGTTGTAAGATTGCACTTTTTTGTTAGTAGTATGTAAATTTACATTACTGTAAGACTGTACTGTTACTGTATTGCTTACGTTACTGTGCACTGAAAACACTTATTTTAACAGAAGATGTCTGTTTTGTATAGCTACCTCTGTAAAACAGGAAGCACACATTTTATTTTTTAATATTTTATTTATTCATTTTTACAGAAGTTGTAGCATATTCATTTAGTAAAGCTACAGAACTTGTTCGACTCAATGTTTTGTAAGTTTGAGCCATCTGTTTGTTAAGGTCTGAAATAAAACAAGATGAGAACTTAAATATTCCCAGCACTTTCTGTGATGTAGTATGCTTGCTTATCATAGGAAGTAATAAGAAATGACTCTTTACATTAAAGTAGTAGCCTAGTGAATAGGGTGTTGGGGGAATCACTTTTTTTTCTCTTTTTCATCAAACCGCAGTTTTTGCAAGTGCCCGCAATTTTTGCAAGTTCCCGCAATTTAATCGCATAAAATTGCATAAATATCCCGCATATTCCATCGCATTTTTTAAGAAAACGTGCCGCATAATCAACGATTTTTGCCCGCAACAATCACCAAAAAACTCCGCGTTTTTCTGGAGGGACTGAACTATAGAGCCCCTACATATCATTATTGTAGCGCTTACATGCCATTATTGTCGCGTGGCCGGGGAGACCGACCCAGCCCCCAGCCTGCCAAGGTGACACCTCGGCGGCCTGGGAAATCTAGGCGAGCCCGGAGGCTCTGCACGGGACTAGGCCTCACCACGGCACTGTCTGCTTACTACTTTGTGCTATACATTCCATATATACTGCTATACAGTCATCATGTACTACTTTAGTGCTAGCAGGTACCACCACAGTCACTATGCACTGCTGTCATCATAGCAGGTACCACCATTGTCGCTTGCCCTGCTGTAATCATAGCAGCTTACACCACAGTATGCACTCCTGTAGGGAAAGCAGCTACAACCACACTGCACTGCTGTAATCATAGCAGGGACCACCACAGTTACTATGCACTGCTGTAATCATACCAGCTACCACCACCACAATATGCACTGCTGTAATCATAGCAGGGACCACCACAATCACTATGCACTGCTGTAATCATACCAGCTACCACCACCACAATATGCACTGCTGTAATCATAGCAGGTACCAGCACATTTAGTGTGCACTGCTGTTGTTAAACCATGTACCACCACAGTATGCAATGCTGTTATCATAGCAGCTACCACCACAGTCAGTATGCACTGTTGTACTGATAGCAGGTACCACCACAGTATGCACTGCTCTTGTCATACCAGGTACCACCACTGTCAGTGTGCACTGCCTTTGTGATAGCAGGTTACACCACAGTCACTAGGCACTACTGTAGTGATACCATGAACCACCATAGTCAGTTTGCATTGCTGTATTTGAAGCAGGTACCACCACAGTCGGCATGCACTGCTGTAGTGATAGTGCATACCGTCGATGTGTGTGTGCCTAAGTCCATGTATGTGTGTTAGTCAATGTGTGTGTAGACAACTAAAAATTGAGTTCCGTCCATGTGTGCGTGTGGGTCGATGTGCGTGTCTGCGGCGATGTGTGTGTAAGTCGATGTGTCTGTGTGTGTGAGTCAATGTGTGTGTGTGTGAGTCTATGTGTCAGAGTCAATGTGTTTGTGTGTGTGAGTCGATATGTCTGTGTGTTTGTGTCAGTCGGTGTGCGTGTGTGTTAGTCGCTGTGTGAGTGAATGAAAGTACATGTATGTTTGTGTGGGAGTCTATGTGTGTCAGTCAATGTGTGTATGTGTGAGAGTCCATGTGTGTGTGCGTCGATATGTGTGTGTGTGTGTAAGTTCATATGTCTGTGTGTGTAAGTCGATGTGTGTCTGTAAGTCGATGTGTGCATGGGTCCATGTGTGTGTGTAAGTCCCTGTGTGTGTGTCTTAGTCGATATGTCTGTCTTTGTAAGTCCATATGTGTGTGTGTAGGTCAATGTGTCTGTGAGTCTATGTATATGTGTGTGTGAGTCTATATGTGTGTGTAAGTCTATGTGTGTGTGTGAGTCGATGTGTGTGTAACTCAGCAGCAGCGTGGTAGCTCCAACTCCTCCTCTGAATGAGCAGCTATTACCAAATCATCGGCATACATAACGTGGTTGACCAATAGGGAGCCATCCCTTGATGGCACCCGGGCATCGATCAGCCTCCCATTATATCTGTACCAAATTGAAATTTCCCCGGTACAGCTATTGAAGGCTTCACGAACTACGCAGTCAAAATAGATGTTAAATAATATGGGAGCCAGAGGACATCCCTGCCGCACCCCAAGGTGTACAGGGAAAGGCTCTGACTCCCGGCCAATTAGTTTTACCCGGGCCCGCTCACCATCATGAAGGTCCTTAATGATCGTGAGCAGAGGGTCAGGGACTCCGAAAGCACGAAGAACAACCTGCTGAGACTGGAGCGTGCCACTAAGAGGTGGGGCCTTACCATCAGCCCCACCAAAACTAAGTACCTGCCTGGGTATTTTGTACCATCGGACACTCCACCCACACAACTCCCAATCGGTGATGGGGCAGTAGTGGAGAGAGTGGAGAGTTTCCCATACCTGGACAGTCTGCTCATGACCAGCTTCGGTTTAACAGCAGAGGTCTCTGAATTAGTCGAGCGGCATTATCTTTTCATTGGTTGCGTAACGCTGTGTGGAAGCTACCTGGTCTGTCGCTCTGCACGAAGCTTCAGGTCTTCTCGGCCACAGTCATTCCCTCACTTCTCTATGCTTGCGAAACGTGGAACCCCCTAATGGAACATCTTCGCCGGTTACAAATATTTAGGCTGGCCTGCCTACGATCCATCCTGGGTTTAACCAGGCTGGATTGTGTGAGGAGCTCACAAATCCTTGAAAGATGTGGACAAAGTCCCATTGGTGAGCTCCTCCAGTAGGCAAGGCTGCGTTGGCTGGGCCATGTAGCCCGCATGCCTAGCTACCGCATGCCTAAACAGCTTTTGTTAGGTCGGATAGTGGGGCTAAATGGGCGCGGCACGGGCTACATAAGAGATGGAGTGATGTCCTACAAGAGAATATGGAGCTGCCGATGACTGGTACCAGTTGTGTCAAGATCGGCCTCTGTGGAGGAGGCTCGTGAATTACGCTACTGGCCAGTTGGAGGCAGTCCTCCAACAACAACGGAGGGCGTTAGGAGCGACGCTCACAACAATTGGCGCAGCGTCGGGTGTCTAAAGCAAAGCAAGTTGGCACAGTAAGAGGCACAGGTGGTGCATCAGCCAGTTGTCTCAGTCGACCTGTGGCATCTGGGTTTGCCCCGTGACCTGCCAGCGGGCATTCGACACTTCACGTGGCCTCAAGGTGCACATAGCCTGGCACAAGCGTCGTGGTGACGTCACCACCATTTAGTGCCGAATGGCGGTTGTTGTATGGTAGTGATATTTTTTACACTTTTCATTATTTTTCTATCTACGTGACTTTACTGAAAGACAAAATGAATGTACATTAATAATGTTTGTGTGCAGACAACTAATTTTTCTATTACCGTATTTTCCCGCATATAACCCGAGGGGTATACCACTTTTAGCAAACAAAACAAGACCCTGCGGGGTATATGGAGGTGCGGGCTATCCCAAAAATATTTTACACGTGTGACATGTCATAACTCGTTAAATTTTTTCATGGTAGGACTATCCACTATGCAACACTTACCTTTGACTAAAGCACTGCTGAATAAACCACTCACACTAAAATTGCACATGTTATCACATTTTAAATTAATTGTTTATACAATTAAACGACAATGTTTGAAGTGCGCGCACTGTTTACCTGCGACGGAGAGCTGGGGGGAGAGAGAGGTGGGGGGCGAGGCAACGGCGTTACTGTAGTTCTGCTATTATCTGCGCAGTGCGCAATCTACCAGTTATGTGTTACTTATTTATTGGATATTTACTTGTGTTACTTATTTACTGTTTTAAGTTCACTCGTTTCCGGTTAGTTTGTTTTATTTGTGCACATTATGATTTTAATGTTAACAATTGATAGTGGAATGTATTACAAATGTAAACTTCGTATTAATATGATGGAATTAAGCTGCGGTAATGACGTTAAAGATATGAATGCATGCGGGGTATATGGAGGTGTGGGCTATCTGAAATTATCTTTTACACTAAACGCTATTTTTGCGGGGTATATGCGTCTGCGGGTTATATGCAGGAAAATACGGTACTTGCTTCTTTCGCTCAACTCATGTACACAGAAACCTAGTATTTTAATAATCACCTTGCAAATATTCACATACTTTCGTTTTTGCGCTCACAACTAATAATTTATTAATAACTTGGTCTGCATTGATATATTTGTTATTGTGTCAAATCACGTTGATAGGTACATATTTTTAAAATAATCACCTTGCAAATATTACAATCATAATGTTTGTGTGCGGACAACTAATATTTCTGTTCTTTGCTTCTTCTGCTAAACTCATGTACATAGAAAGTGTGTAAGTCGATGTGTGTGTCTGTCTTTTTCGCCCGGGCAACGCCGGGTACTTACCGCTAGTTCTTTATAAAAGTGTGACGTAGTTTGACTTCCGGTTCTTATGTTTAACATAATATAATCTGTACTATAAATAAAAGGTGACCTTAATCAATTTAAATAATCAAAACCTTCATAATTAAAATTAATTATATTTAATTAAGTAGAACGTGTTGTTTATATTTATTTAAAGGTGCGCATTTTTACATCATGTCACATTTCTCTAACCCACCCTCCCCCCCTCGTCACACATCGTCACAATTGTCTGGCCCTCCTCCCCCCCAGGTGCATGACATCATTTATGGACGGCCCCAAAGGACTGATGCTGAAGTGATTTTTTGGTGGTAACTATAATGTCATTCGGATTTTTCCTAGTTGGGAGCATTTCGTCGAGCCTGTGAGTGTTCAAGAGTGTGAATGAGTAAGATCAAATGGGTGTGGGTATTGAGTATTTAAAAAAAGAGTGAAAGTGAGCGAATGGGTAAAGGAGTGTGCATTTTAGAGGTGATTGAGTGTGTAAGAGTGAGCGGGTGTACTTAAACGTGAGGACATGATGAGAGGCGGATGAGAATAGGTTGAAGTGATTGTAACGTCGCACTCAGATTGTAAATATGGTGGATTTGCTCTTCAATACACCGGTGTGCTGTACTAGTAACTAATTGGCATGTTCTGTTTACGTGACAAACCTTAATAATTGGCTGTGTCGCGATCGAACCCAAAAAAGCTATATTATGGAAGGTTGAAGTGCTTTTGCTAAACTGACCTTACTAATGAGAATGAGCACAGCAGTGTGCCTGAAGAAGACGTTTTAAACATTGGATATTACCTGTTATGACATACAGATCATAAACAATGTTAAATAAAATGGACCAAAAGCTGAAAAGTGCACAAAGGAGAATGGAACGATGCATGAAATGACACTGAGAGACACAAAGAGGAAATAAATACACGAATTAGAGAACAAATGAAAGATTGATGCATATTTTGACTTCATAAAAGTCGCTTGGGCAGGACACATGGCAAAAAGTGATGATGGCTGATGTCATAGTGACAGCCAGAGGAATGAATGCACCCGAGAGGCTGTCCACTGCAGAGATTTAGCTCGCTCATGTAATCGATGTGTTTTTGTATTGCAGTACCGTCATGAGCATTAGCGACATCGTCAGAATTATCAGCAGGCCGATAGATAATTAAAAGTAACTTTTAAAAAGTAAAATATAACCTGCCTCATAGAAGTACGGCCATTTGTGTCTGAAACATTTAATAAAAAATATAACCCCCTTCCTAAAGCATTATATAAACTAGCTTAAAAAAACATTTGACCCAAACATTATAAAACGACATCCCAGAGATGGATGATGTGTTCTGTGTTGAAAAGTAATTTTAAATTGGTTTTATATCAACGGTTCAGCCTACTAAACCGGCTCACATTCTTGTATGTAGACAGAGGCAACAGAGGTTACACAAAATGCGTGGGTGCGGGTGAGCTTCTGATATTTTTGGTTGCCCCTAATGCTAAGGTCATAACTAATAAGGACCGTGAGGGTAACCTTCCCAACCCTGTTTACCTCGCTCTCACGCCGTGTGTGATATGTTTTTCCATTAACCAATGTTTCATGTAAGTTGGATGCAGTTGATGAATGTTTCTTTGCTCAAACTTTGGAGTAAATATTGGTTGTACATTATACATGAAACATGCAAATCATGGCATTTCTGAACTACTGACTAAAATAGAAAATCTACTTGTTTTTTCATTGTTACATTAAGTTATAATTTTAGGAGTAGCTTATCCAAAGTATTTAAAGTCCAAACAACAAGCTTGTATTTTTTAAATCGTATAATATGTTAATTGAATAATCTCAGTCATTTTCATTTAAATATGATCCCTAATCCAAAGTTCTAATAAGTAATGCCAAAGAACACTTTGTTCCTACATCTACAAAAAACACAGCAGCCACTTGTGGTTCCTTACAGGAACAATTCTGGGTGCACTAAATCCACACACGTACAACTTGTGAGAGCTTGTGTGATCTCAGGAAATGTTGGCAATGTCATGGGCACTGGTTCCAAACATTTTCCTTCCCTTTTCTATCCAAAGTTTAGGGCTGAAGGCAGATCTGGGGCAGCTACGTAGGCTCGTTTCTCCGCAAGTGGGCCAAGAGGGACTTTAGCAGATGGTGTTTAAATGTTTCCTCATTTGGTGGAAGACATCTTAAATACATTGTGTTTCCACTGTTGAAGAAATGTGCATGAAGTCCTGATAGGGAAGTGAAATCACACCCACCATTAAAAGCCATTATAGCATTCCGAACTTCCTTGATTAGCTCATCTGTGACTTTACATTGTCCACATAATCTACAACATCATGTTTCTACAAGGTAAGAAGTATGATTGAACCAATGCTCCAGATAAGATGCACTCCTAGAAGGCCATGCAACTGGTGGGTTATGTATAAAATACCTTTATCTTTTTTACGTGGATAGACATTTTAGGAGGTGTTATTGTTAAGTCAATATGATTCATTCTTTGCATCCTGCCATGAAATTCGGTGAAATATTTTTATGGTCACTGAAATGCTGAATTTGCACAGATACAACGCATATCTTACTGTGATGTACACTCATTCAAAAGTTTCCCTCTGCAACGTTAATCGGTATGGTTTAAATGTTTAAGGGAAGAGCTGGCAGTTGAGAAATATCTAGACAAAAAAGGAAGGGCAAGTTTAATTTAATATTGACACATGATAAGCATGAAAAAAATTGCCTGCCTAAAGAGGAATATCAAATTGTAATAGACAGGAAAAGACTGAGAGCACGTTAATATGGGTGTAATTTCATGTTAGGGCAGCATGTGTTGGTAAGAAGTGTTACCAACGTGTGTCGCTCTGTGGCACACCGTCTTGAATGCTTTTCGGGTGGAAGGAATCTCGCGCTGTGTCCCTCGGGCGCTAGATAGCACCCACATACGTTCTAACACACTCGTGCTAACCACACTGCTATGCTGCATGAAGCTCAATAATTTGATACAAATGCTTCATTTTTATTTATTTGATGAGCTATTTGATAATGTTTCATAGTTATCGATTTGGAGGTTTTACATTTTATCATGATAAAAGCTTCATGATCATGTAGTATATTTAGCAAATTATCCTTATATCATGATTATCATTGTTAATTTTTACGGGTTTAAATATTATTTCTGAACAGTATTAATGAAATAACGAATATTATACAACTTTTCTGAATATTTTTACAGCATTGTGGTTATATGACTACTTTCTGACACCATGCACATCATAATGTTACACATTTTACAGATAATAATTGTAAAGACTTATGGCAGGCTTATGTTGAGTGAACTTTAGTGGAATAACGTTTAAGTCGTCTGTGCTTTCAATAAATCAAAGCACAAAACAAGATGATAAAAATGTTAAATGGTTAAAAAGTTAAGGAAAACTGATATCACAATAATATCGTGAAACTTACTTTATTTAAAAACATTATACCCCAACAACTATAGTTTTCACGAAAACATGGCATGTGTCCTCAGACAGATGGACCAATCAACATATAATCCTCAGGCATAGCAATAAGTAACGTATAAAACCCCTAAAAAGATTGACCGTCAGCCATGCTGTATCTTGGCATGAAACTGGCTTCTGTTTCTCCCTGAGGCTGCACTCTCTTCTCCATAGGCTGGTGTTTTGTGTCATGGCTGTGTTTAGTCTAATTTGCACTGCCCCTATGACTTTGTCCAATCCTACAAGGAAGCTTGAGCGCCAGACCATGCCCAGTCAGCCAGTGAGGTTTTGATGTCTTAGCCTGAGGCCATAACTGTGTGCACCTGCCTGATCCATCGGTTGAGTGTGCACCACCCTACATTTTTCAAATATTGAGTTATAAAGACAATGCCGTACATACTCTACCAGTCCTTACATTTTTTATTTGGAATTGCCTTTATTTTTTTTTTATGAAGTTGAAAGAAATGACTGTAAACCGTACAACACATTTGCAGGTTGATGTGTTATGTTTTTGTGTTTCAGGTTACGCACTGACGCAGGCCTTCGTTGTCTGCGTGGGCCTCAGTATGGAGACTCCCAGAAAGGACCCTGCGGTGTTTGTGGCCTCTCAGTTGCCCTCAGATGCACGGTTCATGGCGGTGCTTGCCAATGGGTACCTGGGCACCCAGGTGTACGGCCGCTCGCTGCACATGGGCGACGTTTACAACGGGAACGGGACAGAGAGTCACCGTGCGCATATCCCCTCCACGCTCAATGTGCTGCTCTCGAACACAGGCCCAGGGGAGCTCCTGTATGGCCTCAACACCAGGAAAGGTATGCACTGTTGCAGGCACTGATGCCTTGTGCCATTTGTGTGTCAAGAACATCCATACTTCTTCTTGGTTCTTTCGGTAAAGTCACGTAGAAGGGAAATAATAAAATAATAAAAATAAAACAATAAAATAATTTCACGACGTTTCGGCCACAACGCAAGCAGCCGTCCTCAGGTGAAGACGCTGTCTTCCCGACAGACATGTTCTTCACCTGAGGACGGCTGCTTGCTTTGTGGCCGAAACGTCGTGAGAATTATTTTATTATGTTGTATTTTATTATTTTATTATTTCCCTTCTACGTGACTTTACCGAAAGAACCAAGAAGATGAATCCCTGCAGTCACGAAAGCTTTAAATCGAAACATCCACACTGCCCAGAAGTGTGGGCTTGGGTGAGCGCTGGTCAGCGCGGAGGCACCACGTACAGTGTGCGGTGCGGGCTCCCGGTGAGGGAGCGAGAGGGAGCGTCAGCCAGCTAGGGTTACGTTAGGGCATGATACGCCGGTTGACCTGCAGACACGTGACCGGATGATATTGGAGAGGGGCCACCGGTGGATGGGGGCCGCTGGGCGGTCACGTGGTTTAAAAGAGCTCTCGGGAGCCTTCGGAAAAGAGCTCGAGAGATCTAGAAGGTGGGCGGGGCGAGGGGCGGAGCCAGCCCCAGCCCAGGACGATATAACGGGGGCCCCGTGAGGGGCTCGGGGTTCTTCGTGTTGCTGGTGATGTAGATCCTCGTTGGGTAAAAGAAGCCTCTAGCCTTGCGGCCCGGGACCCAGCTTGTGGTCCGGGCCGGGATAGCAAACCGTGTCTAGTTCTGCCGTAGCGCGGCGAGATGAGCATTAAACACCCATGTGTAGGTTGTGTTATGTTATGTTGCCCTTTTTAGTGACAACCTTACTAGTTGGCTGTGCCGGGTGCTGTCGGGTTTTACATTTATATATTTACGCGATCTAAGCCAAAAAAAACCTTATGGATAAATTATTAAGCCGACTGAAATGGTGCAAATTTTTTTTAAACAAAGTTTCTTAAACAATATTTCGTCCATGTGGATCAACATGGCATAATGATGGCCATTTTCGTACAAAATCTGTATTATTTTGCATTCAGAGAATCACGTAGCCGTTTGCACAAAAACACAGCCATTCAGCCACCACGCAATTGGGACAGGATTCGGGTGGAGCCAATGATGACGGAAGGTTACCGCAAAACAGTTGGCATTTGAGATCAAGGGAGCTCAGAAGTAGATAAATGATTCCTGCTTGCACAGGCCGTTGTATAACGTGGGGTATGCATTGTTTTGCTGGAATTCTATGAGCATACTTAAAGTGATGTCGCACCGGTTGCTCTATTGGAGTAAAATTGTTGAAAAGACTAAAAAAATTACTTATGATTGAGAATTAATTTTGCTGATTGAACCCATTTAATTCAGCATGAGGTTCATGTTTTATAATATTCACTTGGGCACGAGCTCTCTGCCTCCACGGAATACTGACATGGCTAGGCCGAGGAGGGAACCTTCCCTCATCTCCGCAGTATGTGCTTGTGAGAGAAATGTCAAACATTTGGTCCAAACCACAGATTGCTGGATCTTTCAAGGCACTGCAGTAAAACTAACTGAGTTAAAATCATTTTTCTTTATATGGTATATGGAAACAACTCTCTGGAACTACTACGCATTCATATGTGTTTAAATATACATGCACAACCCTTTTGTCATTTCACTGCGCAAGTCGTAGGAGTTGTTTGAACATGACCACCCTGGTCTCTGGGTTGGTGAAGGCATGTAGCATAGATGGGTGAGCATAGAAGAATCCAACAAAGCATTTTTCTGCATTACCCTCTGATTACCACAATATGACACAGCTTCTCAGCTGCATATTTCAACTAATATGTGCATGGTGGTCAGCCATCTAAACACTATCCAGGCTTAATTCTGCTTTGCTTCTGAGGCCTGATGAGATTGGGCTCTTTTTTAGGTGATTTGGTAATCGGCTTGTGTGCATATATGTGGTGTATATTTGCTGTAACCTTTATGAACCTACACAAGTGTTACATTCTCTTGCAGGTGTGTTTGAATGCGTGCTGAAGAGCGAACGTATGCTGGTGGTGCAGCGAATGTACGCGCACCGCTCTCGTAGAAACCTGCTGGTGCACAGCGTGCATGTGCGGCGCACTGGCCCGGACCAATCTCCCCTCCACCTCAACCTGTCCAGCAGCTTCACACCTTTCAGTGAAGATATTGACTTTAAAGAAGGGTCTGCATTTCTTGAAGCAAGGTGAGATGCAGCATATGATTGAATTGTTGCTTTGAAAAGGTTATAAATTTTATAAATGTAAATTTCAAAAATGAATGCACACAGGAACAATTGTTTTAAAGATCAACCAAAATGAAGAGCTCATCTCGTCATCAATGCCACCCCACCTTGTCATCGCTTGCTTCCACAATTGACATCCGACCTCCATAAACCACAGTTACTCTATCCGTCCATCTAGCTTTGCGTGTTCCCCTTAGCTGCTGATCTCGTGGTGCAACTGCAATGTTTGTGTAAGGACGTAAGTCGCGTCCCTACGGGGTGTATGCGGTAAGCACCCACGATCTATATGAGTGAGGGCACGTACCTCTGCAGGGAGTCGACGGAGACGTTGCGGGAAGCGGGTCCTGCTGGGCGGGGCCCCGTCACTGGAGGAGAGAGGGGATGTGCCGGCTCATGGGAGTTCAGGGGACCCGGGTGGGAGGGCCCGGGGACATGTGACGCTGGCTCCTGTTCTCTCGAGAGACCGAGCAGCAGGAAGCGTGGCCAGGGGCGGCACGGGGCCTGGCTCGGGGGTGGGGGAGGAGAGAGGAACGGGGGTGGAGCGGAGGGCTCAGTCCAGCGATGGAAGCGATCGGTGCGGCGGCGCGGGGAGCCTGGGAGATTGGCTATAGGGGCTGAGGGATAAGGGGACCCCTTCCAAGGGGTCTAGTATTGATTCCCCTTCCCAAGTGTTGCCTTCTAGAGTTGTGTTGTGTTATCCCTAGGCGAGATGTTATAATAAAGTGTGGTGCCTCCAGATTTCTGCGTGTGCCTCGTCCAACACACTACACTTGTCTCAGTAACTTGCTCTCCTCAATCCACAAGTATTCTTCATTTGCTACATATCAATAACCTTACTGTCACCCATTTTCTGGTGGGGAGACAGACATTCGTTATCTTGCTTTTTATTTTCCCCATGTTTGGCACCATCCTTGTTATTAATACAGGTGATGTCTTAAACTATACACCCATAATACTACAATGTGTGTAGGTATGTACATTGAACTTCTTTAGCACCGTACATAGCCAACTATGCTAATCCGAGGTGCAATTAACGTATCCACATGTGGCATGGTTGAGTTTATTATGTTATAAAAATTCTATAAGCATGTTGACCCATTTAATGTGAGGTTATTAAACATTTAGTATTTTGGTATTTTAAAACATGCTTTTGTTGTGTTTTTAAAAATGATTTAATATGATAATATAATTGTGACATTGGTAATATATGGGAATATATATTCACATCCATTTGAGAGCTGACCAGATGGCCTAGGGGCTCAGAGCGCTGAATTGGCATCGCTGAGACTTGAGTTCGAATCTGTGCCTCGGCATTCCGTGAATCTGGGTTCTGAAGTGTCGTGAGTGGAGTCTCAGCTGAGTAAACAATGACTGTACTCTTTGGTTCTTTCGCTAAAGTCACGTAGGTAAAAAATAAATAAAAATAAATTAAATCACGACGTTTCTGACGCAACACAAGCGTCCGTCATCAGGTGGGACAACCACAGCAAAAAACCGTTGCTGAAGTAGGCAAAAGAGCTGCTAGTAACGGGGTTATTTACCGCTCGCTGCTCCTCAGGTTATTTGCCGTCAATGTCATATTTGCTTCCCCCCCCCACCCTCTCTATCCTTGCCTCCGCCCCCCTCCCTCATTTATATATAACCCCCTGTTACTAGCAGCTGTCTTGCCTACTTCAGCAACGGTTTTTTTCTGTGGTTGTCCCACCTGATGACGGACGCTTGTGTTGCGTCCGAAACGTCGTGATTTAATTTATTTTTTACCTACGTGACTTTGCCGAAAGAACCAAAGAATATGGATCCTTGCAGTCACGAAAACTTCAAATCTAGAATGAATAACCAATGACTGCACAGAGAAACATCACATTAAATTCATTTTTTCACTTAATTGGGTTAAATCGCAACTTTTAGTGTTTCAAATATTGTTTAAAGTTTCATGCGGTGAACATGTGGGGAAGTGTGTTACCTAGTTTGGATAAGAAAACTTCACATGAAGTGATGTTGGAAGTCCTGTTATACTTTTTTATGTGAGCTGTTATGTAACACATGGTATTGTGCCACCAATAGCCCAATTATCAATACGTTGGCGAAAATACGAACATACAACATCCATTTGAATGTTGAAGTCATTCTCAAATGTAATAGTGAGAAAAGTTTAGGAGCATCCTTTTTTAAATTATATATTATAGATCATGAGGTTTAATGGGCAGCATGTTGTGATGCAATGGCTTATGCACTGCGATACGAACTCACCAACCTGGCTAACATCACTGGCGAGTAATATCTGAACCAGTCTTGGGGCCCCCCCATTCACTATCTCGGATTGACCGGTGTGGGGAAGTATGGGCAAATAAACCCCATGCCTGAGAAGGGTATAGAGTCCTTCATATAACAGTGGATTTACAAAGGGCTGTAAATTATTATTTCTTATTAGACAATGATGGCAAATGCATTGACTTTCGCGGGGACTTTCTCATTGTACATATGATTATCTGCAGGTACATTTACGGTGAGATTCATGCGCCGGAAGGGAAAGAATGTTCAAAGACCACTGTGCATATGGTCTGGACACCAGTCCCAACTTGCTTGGAGCTGCCCGCTGGACAGATCGTGAAAAAGTGGACATTTCTAACAGCCCTGAGCACGGATGAGAGTGAAGCCAAAGCCGAATACCGCGCGGGTCTGCGTGCAGCTGAGACACGCGAGCTGTACCTCACCCACAAGGCAGCCTGGTCCCAGCTGTGGGCCGCAAGCTGCATTGACATGACTGGAGACTTTTACCTTACCCAGGTGTTGTATGCGTGCATGTTCTACATGCTCAGCGCATTGCCGTCTACGAGCACGTTGGATCATCCCTTCTTTGGACTGAGTCCTGGCGGGCTGTCCAACGGAGAGAGAAACGAGGACTATCTTGGACACGTTTTCTGGGACCAGGTAGCTTTGCATGGCTTGTAACCTGTAATAGTGGCCACTTTGGTTGTGTTACGTAAATTTATAATCATATTAATGGGACCTCCCTTGCCAATATCAAAATATAAGAATATTTTTACCCTTTCTGGTAATAAAACATGTGTTAAGATACTCTTTGGTTTTTTCGGTAAAGTCACGTAGGTAAAAAATAAAAATAAATTAAATCACGACGTTTCAGAAGCTTGTGTTGCGTATGGACCCTTGCAGTCACGAAAACTTCAAATCTAGGTGTTAAGATGTTAAAACACCGAATAGAAACCTTTTGCAAGAAATCATGTCTGCATTAACCACACATACTTGTGGCGAACATGGCGACAGGGAGGTCACATGGGTAGGGACTCCATTCCCAGCCCCCTTCGCCACCTCCCAGTCCTGTTATACATTTATCAAATGATCTATGCAGAAGTGTGAAGGTTCCCTCTAAACCTACTTTCCAATTTGTAATTCGAATTTAACGTGGTTGACGTAAAAAGTGATGTTTTGTGTGGTCACATGTTTTCAGGAGACATGGATGTATCCCGTAGCGCTGTTGTTCCACCCCAGGGTTGCACGCACCATGCTGGAGTACCGTGTGGCACGGCTTGGTGCCGCACGTGAAAATTCTCGGGCCGCTGGACACAGGGTACCAAAACTGCTTGCAGGCGTACTTTGTTTACTATTTATTCATTATGGATGCATTGTTTGCACTAACTTCACTCCTTTGAATGAGAGCCAAGCCACAACATTTAAAATCTGAGTACGACGTTTCACCAGTAATTACAACTAGCTTCATCAGGCGACAGTTAGATTTGTGGAGAAGTCTTAATTGTTTCATTCCTTATATAGAGGTGTAGATGTGGTGACCACGCTTCTGTGCTCTTGCGCAATGTGGGGGGGGATGGATTACTGAGTCAATGTACATTATGCATCTGCATTATGCGAACCCTTTGATATTATCCTTCCTGTCTCGCATAATGCACATGCATAATGTACATTGACTCAGTAATCCCCCCCCCCACTTTACGCAAGAGCGCAGAAGCGTGGTTACCACATCTACGCCTCTATATAAGTGTAGAGGAGCAGCGGGATGACGTCATGTCATGGGCGCCGCAAAGTGTGATGACGTCATGTCATGAGCTCTGTAAGGAGACCTCAAGAAAGGGGGCGGGTCCGAGTGAAGGGGGTGCTTAAGGAGGATCCCGTGACGTGAGCGGGGCCGTTGTGGGGAGCCAGAGGTGGATCGCCTGTGAGAAGTCTCTCCCGCTCGTGACCGGACGGTGTTGGCTTAACCCCCGTCCGGGGTCGACGAGTGGGAGAGCCGGGGAGATAGCCGAGAGTAGGGCTACAAGAAGTGTGGGAGAACCCAGTCGTAGTGAGAGAGCCTGAGGGATAGCCGAGGTTAGGGCGAGTAGAGCCTGGGGGTCCACGGGAAGGACCGAGTGTAAAGAACGTCTACCTCTGGTGTAAGCTGAGTGTTACCCTTGTTAATAAATGGCGAAAGCCCTTATATGAAGTTCCGTCTCCATGTGGTTCTACGCCTCAACATAAGGAACGAAACAGTTAGACTTCTCCACAAATCTGGCTATCGCCTGATGAAGCTAGTTGTAATTACTGGCGAAACGTCGTACTCAGATTGTAAATGTTGTAGCTTGGCTCTCCAACACACCGGTAGTGCTGTACTAGTGACGAATTGGCATGTTCGGTTTACGTGACAACCATTTTTAGCTGGCTGTCAGGTGGGGGTGGGTTTTAATGACACATTTATATATTTACGCGATCTAACCCCCAAAAACCTCTTCTGGATTATATTAGTCGCGAAAAGCCTTCGTGTTAAACATCACTCTAACGTTAACCGGTCTGTTAACGTGGGCCATCTTTTTGCAAACGGAAACGTTGCTCATTTTTTGTCAACAGGGAGCAAAGTTCCCCTGGGAGAGCGCTGTGGCTGGACATGAAGTTTGCCCGGAAGACATTTACGGGCAGCAGGAAATCCACATCAATGGAGATGTGTCCTTTGCTTTCCAGCAGTACTTCATTGTCACTCAGGTACCATACACAGAACCCAATGGGAGCACAGTGATGGTCCAAACGAGTAATTTTGTATAGCATGTACAGTTATGTATATTTTCAAAAACATAACGTAATGAATGTCCTTTTTGGCGATGTTTTCCAGTTATCTTCCGTGAAAGATGGACATCTGCCTCTCTATCACCTCCATTCTACAAGTCTATTGTAGTGATCACTCTCTTTAAATATGTAGTGTTTTTATTTCACGCAGACAACTTCTTCTTTCTTTTTCTCCGGTGTCACTTTTATTCAACAGAACTTCTCGCGTTCAACACCACGTAACTCCGTCGCAACTCTCCCGCCGGCGCTGCTCGCCTCCTTCGCTCCGCTCGCTCCGCTTTCTTAGCCTCTCCACTGCTAGCCTGTTCTCTCTCTCACTGTCATTGCCTCTCCACTGCTAACCTGTTCTCTCTCACTATCCTAGCCTCTCCACTGCTTGCCTGTCTGCCTGCCAAACTCCGCTCGCTTCGCTCGCTTCCACTGCTGACCTACCACTACACACTCTGATAGCTTCCCACTGTGCACTCTGCTAGCCTCTCCACTGCTGGTCTCTCCTTGTTCTTCTGCTGGCTCTCTTCTGCTAACCTATCACCTCACACTCTGTTCGCTTCTTCACTACTAGCCTTCCGCTATATATTCTGCTAGCTTCTCTACTGCTAGTCTTCCGCTATAAATTCTGCTAGCTTCTCTACTGCTAGCCTTCCGCTATACACTTTGCTAGCTTCTCTACTGCTAGTCTTCCTGCTATACACTCGGCTAGCTTCTCTACTGCTAGCCTTCCGCTATACACTTTGCTAGCTTCTCTACTGCTAGTCTTCCTGCTATACACTCGGCTAGCTTCTCTACTGCTAGCCTTCCGCTATTCATTGTGCTAGCTTCACTACTGCTAGTCTTCCGCTATACACTCGGCTAGCTTCTCTACTGCTAGTCTTCCACTATTCACTCTGCTAGCTTCTCTACTGCTAGCTACACACGCTCACACTTGGGATTCTGCTAGCTTTTCTACTGCTAGCTACACACGCTCACACTTAGGATTCCGCTAGCTTCTCTTCCCTCGCCTCTCCTACCTCGTCCTTGCCACCCGTGGGGGTTCAGCCATCACCACGGGTGAGGGCGAGGTGATAAGAGCGGTGCTTGGGACTTCCCTTGTATGTGTTTCTGCCTTCACTATGACCAACTCAACTCCTCTGCCTCACGCTCCCGTATATATTAGCCGTCTCCCTTCCTTGGCTCTCTCTTCGCACCTGTCTGTCCCGATGCGACCTCACTGTCCGTAACTTCGCACATGCATGCACACAGCTTGCAAGCCCCCGCGCGTGTTATTTCACTACAAATATAAAGGCAACTGTTGACTGCCTGGCAATACGTTAATTAGCCTCTCCATATGGTTCTAATTTTACCAACCAAATAATAAATGTGCTATTAGCCATAACTTTCCATTCTTCTCACTGATGAAGCTTCACACTCAGGTCAGGCAGCCTTGAATACACATTCCCTAGCTATTGCAATATGAGAAAGTTTGTTGGGTTTTGTTGTTTTTAAATGTCTACATTTTCAGATTGCGTGAGCCCTTTAAGGTTGCCTTTTTGTAAGAAAGACCTGGGTGACATGAGAAAAATATTCTGAATATTGTGCAGCTTTGCAGATGCACATCTGTACTGATTGTCATCGTACTGTCACAGGATTTAAAGTTCTTTTCACAACTGGGAGGATGGGATGTGGTGAAGTCTATCGCGGAATACTGGAAAAGTCGTGTGGAGTGGAATAAGACTGAGAAATGCTATGACATTAACAGTAAGTCTTATGTACATATAAGTAAGGACAAGTTGCATGGGGAATTTGAGGTTATTGAATAACAAAGACGTGCATTGTTAGATAATGGTACTGTCCGTGTGTACTTGGGAAGGCTAAGCAATAACGTTACCTCAAATGGTAGCAATTGTCCAGTCTATTCGAGGTACAGGCAGTCCTTCTCAATCAAAGCTTAGATTGTTGTTTTCCTTGCACCTTCCCAAAAGTAAAAAACTAAATGCAACAATCTTTAGTATTACTCTTTGGTTCTTTCGGTAAAGTCACGTAAGGTAGACAAAATAATAGATCACGACGTTTCGATCACAACGCAAGCGACCGTCCTCACCTGAGGGTGGTAGCTTGCATTTCAATCGAAACGTCGTGATCTATTATTTTGTCTACCTCCGTGACTTTACCGAAAGAACCAAAGAGTATGGATTCCTGCAGTCACGAAAGCTTCAAATCAAGATTGAATCTTTCGTATTTTTGTGTTGTCTTTCATTTAAATAGATCTTTGTGTTTTGTGGCAAGCAGTTGTAATTTTATAGATGTCATTGTAACTTTAAAAAAATCTCCATATTTTAGCAGAAACGTTTCTCTATCAATGGCAACTGACTCTGCCCACTTCGAGCCATTCTGCAAGTGTGCTGTAAAAGTGGAATGGGAGTGTTTGTGTGGAATTTGCCACTTGGGTTACAAGATATGGAATGGATCGAATTTTATACCAAATATTTAAAAAAACCAGACGCTATTTTTTTTTACTGATCTGGTAATTAGTGGAGTGTTATTAAAAGGGGGGCTTTGAGGATGTGTAAAACACAGACTGGTTGGAGTGAACAAGGCTTAGTAGCAATGACACTTCATCCATTTCAGTATATATTTCCTCATCAGATTTCTTAACTCTTTTACATAACCTGTGACCAGATTTTTTTAAATCAATATATAGATTACAACCATGTCGTTTCTTTTATGCAAATCACCTTTTTCACGTTTTATTATTATTACTCCTGTTTTTGTTACCAGCCTTCATGCATTTTCTGTCGGATGTGTTTCTCATAATCTACAGAAAGTGTTTAAAAGTGATTTCGATATATATTTGTTCAAAGTGCTAAATCATATCAGGGGCAGAGAAAATGCTGGAGGAAGTTTGGGTTGTTCAGGAGTTTTGAGTTGTTTCAATGCAGTGCAAAGGGTGGAAATGTGGTGTTCAAAATAGGAACCATTTGAATCTGTAAGCCATGGTTCAAAGGACAGTATGAAATAGCAGTAGCTTCCAGTTCTACATAATAGAATGATTTGCTTGCTATCGAAGAGGTTGATCCCACTGAGCCACTTGGCCACAACTGCTCTGTCACGTTGAATGTGTTCTCTTTATAGATGTGATGCCTCCAGATGAGTACCATAATGGCGTCAAAAACTCTGTCTATACAAATGTCGTGGCCAAATACAGGTAAGGTAACTCACGTAGGTAAAGGTGCAGCCTTGCAATTGCTTGCTCATGTCCGCGCTGGCAGAAGGGCCTCCACGAGAGAGAGCTCAAGAGACCCTTAATCGAGAGTAATTTGGCCTATTTTTCCAGACATCTTGAAAGAGGTGGAAATACGTACCCATGTTTTCCCCCCACCACTTTTGACCTTCCACTCGATTAACTTTACACCAACTCACATAAATATTCTGCAGACCTTTGTATTGTTGTTAATCTATTTAATTTTAGCCTCTGAAATGTACAACTTCCACGAGCGATTAATGACAATGTGTAATGTATTGCTTTGATTAATCAATTACTTATTTCTAAAGCTCACAGACAATTCATATGTGTTGTGGTGTAGGACTATCACAGAGTAAGGTTCCAAGAACACTTTATAGCAGATACAAGAAATATGAGATTTAAATTTTAATGAGATTTGAAGGAACTGCCTTGGCAGTAGTATAGGCAGAGGATCCTATTAATTCATAATAACTATTCTGGCAAATTGCCCGATGATTCTGGATGTAATTACCAGCAAAACGTCGTACTAAAAAATTGTAAATGTTGTGGATTCACTCTTCAACACACCAGTGGGCTAAACTAGTGAACTATTTATACCCTTTGATTTTTTCGGTAAAGTCACATAGGTAGAAAAATGATAGATCACGACGTTTCGATCGCAACACAAGCAATCGTCTTCAGGTGAAAAAGAGGGGGGAATCTTCTGAGGCTGGCGGTTTTTATAAAGGTGTTGAGTAGTTCCGACGGACGTACTCGGAGACGGAGGTAAGTTAGGGGCTTCCGCCAGGGTTTATTAACACTTATCAATACTACACAGGGTACACAACTCCCAGGGGCTAGGGGTCCTACTCTGAGTCCGGGTCCCTGCCGGCTAGCTCCAGTCTCTCTCTCTCTCTCTCGTGTCGGATCGTGGAGTCTGCCGACTCCACCGACCGGAGAGAGAAGCACCTCTACGGCTACCACCGGCTTCTCCCCAGACTCCCTATTCGATCCCTCTCACTATCCCTGGTTCCCTCTTCACCCTGTTTACTATCCCCGTTCCTACAGTGACCCCGCTTACGTCACGGGGTATCCCTTAAATACCCTAGGAGACGTGACGTCACGTGCACTGCCCAGCGCGTGCGACCCCACGTCCCGTGATGTCATCGCACCGGACAGCGCACACGACGCCACCACTCTCCTCTACTCCTCTACAAAGGTTTAGAGATGGGCAGGGCAGCTAATGTTCATGTAGGAGCGAGTAGGAGAGAGATATTTGCTTGTAAATGTAAGCTCGGCAAGGACTATTTGTCTTTTGTCAACGTGACACATTTTTTACTGATGGGCCGTGTCGGGTGGTGGAGGGTTGCGACACATTTATAAATAACGCGATCTAACCCAAAAACCTTTATTATGAATAATATTGGTCGCAAAAGCCTACGTGTTAAACTGATCCTATTAATTACTACAATGTACCACAAAGTGCAACTTAATACTAAATAGCACCAGAAATTACCACCTAATACCACAATACTTGAATATCATAAACAACAAAGCATTTTTAATAAATAACAGACACAAAACATAATTCGAGGTAATTATTTCAGTACTTTGTGGTACTTTGCGATACTTTGTGGTAATTATTGAGGTGCTTCATGGCACTTTTTGGTAATTAGTGGGACCCCATTAACATTAACTGTACAAACCTTGAAGTATAAAACTGTGCACTCAATACAGATTCTAATTTGAGCATGCACCTCTTAAACTCTTGACATCTTGCTGGCTTTGAGCACGTCGAACCCTGGAGTTGTCATCAATCCCCAAGTTTTGTCTCTTGCAACATCTCAACTTTGCAGGATCTCACACCTCCGCTTGGTGCAACAGCTCCCGAATCCACATCTTTTGTTGAGACATATAACCATGCATTCGTGTGTCTATACTCCCCTGAAACTTGCTTTTCTCAAGACTAATTCTACAGCATGCCACTTATCGATTCGCATCACCACCATACTCATATCCCTCTGGCTCCTAATTCAACTCTGTATCAACTAAAGAATGTTGTGGTCAAATCCGTGGTCTGTGTAAGACACCTAATCAGACTTGCCTTCCCATGAAGTCTAACATTAAATAAAAACTGTTTCTTAACTTTTCATTTATTTTATTTGCTTATGTTATTTACTACTTACCTGTCTTATGTTATTCGCTGCTCACGGTTGCACTTTATTTTGCGCGCGGTTGCAATTGATTCTGGTCAGTCAGTGTTAGCCGCTAAAAGGCGTGACAGGTTTCTGTTCTCAATCCTGTTGCTCCGTGCCTCCTGTACCGCTCCCATTCTGTTGTAATGTGTACTGATGCCGAATTTATTGAGGGTGATATTAGCACTTTAAAAAATTAACCCGTAAAAACAAAGTTTTTCACTATAAATCCTTTATATGCGTGGCGGCTAGAGTCCTCTCGTCCTCTGGCTTGAGATGGCTGCCACCTATGGGTCAGATGATTGTCTGCCACCATTAAGCAATTGGTAATTAAATATTTAAAAACATTTCCCTAAACAGTGTAACATTTTTGAAAAAAATGTTCACGAAAATTAATTGGCACGCACAATGAGTCTGTGTGCAAAATGTCAGCTCGATTGGATCACGGGAAGTCGGTTAAAAAACGACCGAAAGATTTGCACGGTCGTAAGCAAGCAAGCAAGCACGCAAGCGAACTTAATATAAAGGATAAAAAAAAAATTGATTGCCTTTACTGTCTTCAAAATCCTCCATGGACTCACCCCTGCCTACCTGTACCCTTTCATATCACTCTACTGCTTCCTGATCTCCACTTAAACAACAACAAAGGTATTCTGTCAACCCTTCATCTACCTTTGTTCAATAGGAAGAACACTGGTGACTGGAATTCCTGTGCAATGGCCATCTACACTGCTAAGACCGATTCAAGTCCACATTCAATACATTTCTTTTCTCTTTTGCATATAACTATCTCTATAAAGTGTCTTGCTAGACTATTCTACCATAGCATAATCTTATTTCCCTTTCTCGCCAGTGATTATACCTAACATATACTGCTGCCAAAGAATAAAAAAAACTCTTCAAACTCAAACATTGTTTGTTGATAATGCATTGGTGCACAATTATAAATAAAAATAAAAACTCACATGCATCAGTAACACTACCTTCAAAAGTATATTATAGGGGATGTGTCAGGCAATGGCCCTTCACAGCACACAGAGAGGCCAAACTCGAGATGAGCACGTGTCTCGTATTTGTGCAGCGTCTTGAGATACGGTCATATATTTGTATATTTGTCTTATTTCAGTCGTAGGTGCCCAATGAGCTATTAGGCTTTATTTCATGGGCATCCTTCGACGGTACAAATGTTGTACGGTACACATCTTCGTTACAATCATTGTTTCATGTGTCACATTACAAACAGCAAGTATCGGTACATTCTATACATGTTACAAGAATAGGGGACTGGCAAAAAAACATTACTACATTTTATGAACAAAAATTAAGGAAGAAACAAATGGTATTCAACAAAACAAACACAATCACTTTTAGATACTTTATTTATCCAAATTGTATTGAAAATATCTGTTTTATTTCAAAAGCTAATGCCAAAGGGGTGAATTACTGCAGAATAATTTCGTACTGAACGTTTGTGAGCTTGTCAACAAATTGTGAATTGGGGTTAATTGTGGACTGTACTCTTGCTTATGGGTAAAATATTCCCCAATGTATTGTGATAGTTTCATTTAAAGCTTAATTTGTAAGTTGTTAGTCCCATCTATTTCTACTCCCTGAAATTACCTTAAATTACACAATTATTGCAGTCACAAAAGCTCCAAATCAAGTTTACACAATCCATTTAATTCTAGATTTGAAGCTTTCGTGACTGCAAGGATTCATACTCTTAGTTCTTTCGGTAAAGTCACGTAGGTAAAAATTAAAATTAATAAAAATGAAACAATAGAAATCACGACGTTTCGGAGGCAACACAAGCTTCCGTCTTCAGGTGAAACCGTCACAGCAAAATATCTGTACCTTATATAGTGGTTAAGGGGGGAGGAGCCAGGAAGGGCAGCGGGGGAGGAGGAGTTGTGAAGCGGTCAATTACTGCTTTTGTTATACTGCTGGGTGGGTAAATGAATTAGATACGATTAAGCCGCTCTTTGTTATGCTGGTTGTGCGCAAGTCACTGTGGGATGAATGGACTCGTGGTCAGAGACGTGTTGCGCAAGTAACTGTGGAGGTACATAATAGAAAAGGAGCAGAAATGCCCATGGTTATACCAGTGTTGGCTGACAATAAAGAGTACTGTTAAACGTTAGGGATGTTAACACTCGGTGAAGTAAAATAGTGCCTGTCAGATAAGATGGTCCAAAAATGTGTAATTAAATCTTTTTTTGCATGGTTGATAACATCTTTCCAATGATTACTAAGTTTGTACCCATCACGGTTGAAATTATGTTTGTGTTTGTATATCTGAATGGCTTCGTGTACAAACCTTTGATGGTAGCCAGAAGGCACTATATAAGGTACAGATATTTTGCTGTGACGGTTTCACCTGAAGACGGAAGCTTGTGTTGCCTCCGAAACGTCGTGATTTTTATTGTTTTATTTTTATTAATTTTTATTTTATTTTTTATCTACGTGACTTTACCGAAAGAACTAAGAGTATTTACACAATCCAGTCAGCATTTTAAATTTAGTATGTTGATAATGGACCACCTATTACCAAATTGCTCGGAATCCACCGGATCGTATCTGATGCGAAGCAGAGTTGTACTTGGTAGTGATAGGATGGGTAATCATGCATAACAGGTGTTATCAGCTGTGGAGTTACAACTCACCGGAACCTGAGTGGTTCTGGAACCTGAGCACCATGTTCAGTTGACCGAGAAACCACTTCAACTTTGTTTCTGAGTCTTCTTCTTATTTTTATGGCTGATGTAGATGCAGAGCAACAACTACAATTTCACATTTAGGTGGTCAAGTCAGATAACCGTGCCAGGAGCCGTGGAGTGTATTGCTGTGATGTCTCCACGTTTGTGGATAGGGCATTTCAGCGTTATACGTTGTACATTCTTGATGAACACAGTCCCACACCGCAGAGTTTTAAATTTTCCATTTGTGCATCTGCCATGGTTTGTGCAGTGGATGCAATTTATGGTGGACCATGAGTGATAATGTACGTGCCGATTGTAATTTTTATTTCCATTTTGCCACAGCCTTGACTTTGCCTCGGATCTTGGAGAACTACTGAAAGTTCCCGTCCCTCCGAAATGGAAAGACATTTCAAGCAAACTAAAAATTCCCATCGACCACGAGAAAAACTACCACCCAGAGTATGATGGATACAATCTTGGTAAAACATCCAAACTGTTTTCAGTATTAGAGGCATTCGTTAATCTTTGTTGAAAACCAGGGGAGATGCTATTGCGATGCGGATTATATTGTCCGAGTTTATCAATTAATTTGACACCTCTTATCCAAGTGGCAAAACCCAGATAACGTGCTTAAATTGTCGATTTAAAGTTTTCGTGACTGCAGGGATTCATCTTCTTGGTTCTTTCGGTAAAGTCACGTAGAAGGGAAGTAATAAAATAATAAAAATAAAACATAATTAAATAATTCTCACGACGTTTCGGCCACAACGCAAGCAGCCGTCCTCAGGTGAAGAACAGGTCTGTCAGAAAGACAGCGTCTGAATGAACACCACCAGGCTTGGCTGCGTATATTTAAGCTGGGTTGGAAGGGGAAGAGTGCCCCGACAAAGGAATTCGCATATCAAGAGGAATCTAGCATACCCATGCTGCTAATCCTGCATAATGCACGGGCATAAGTGGTACTGGTTGCATACCTGCATTTCCCATGGGTATGCTAGATTCCTCTTGATATGCGAATTCCTTTGTTGGGGCGCTCTTCCCCTTCCAACCCAGCTTAAATATACGCTGCCAAGCCTGGTGGTGTTCATTCAGACGCTGTCTTTCTAACAGACCTGTTCTTCACCTGAGGACGGCTGCTTGCGTTGTGGCCGAAACGTCGTGAGAATTATTTTATTATGTTTATTTTTATTATTTTATTACTTCCCTTCTATGTGACTTTACCGAAAGAACCAAGAAGATGCTTAAATTGTGTTTTTTCTTGATACGTTTCAATTGTGCAACACTTTCTGGCTGTTAGGGCTCTATGAAGTTTAATGTGTTCACTACCGCTCTACACAGCCTGGTCTATAATCTGAGGTTGCCCATTCTCACCTGTGATCACACTTTTTTAGGGTCCTTTCGACATGTTTAGCAACTTATGCTTATTTGCGAAAGAACATTACTTGTATATTTTGTTTACTACCACTGCGCAAAAGCGAGCGGCTCGCAATCAGAAGGTTGAGCGTTTAAATCCTGGCTGGGGGTTGACTCAGCCCTTCATCTGCATGGGGGTCAATAAATGAGTACCAACTTGTGGGAAAGTCAACCGTGGTTGTCCTAATGATAGTTTCACCCCAGCCATAAGAATCTGGAGTTTCCACCACTTGCTCAGGGTTGCAAACAAGAGATGAGCACCAATGTCTAAATGTTCATTTCAGCAATAATTGTTTTTCTTTGTCCAATTATACATCTATCAATCAGATTGCTTTCCTCACACATAGCGTTGCACAGAAAACTTATGAAAAAATATAGCAATAATAATATACAAAAAATGTAAGTTCAAGGTGAACAAAATAATATTCTGATTAAACGTTTAAAAATATTATAATCTTACCATCGAGACATCAATTTTGAAAACCAGAACAATAATGTCTGAAAGCACTTTCCATTGAGATATAAATAAATAGCAATCAATGGTCGTGTGTAAAACAGCTTCAAATAAAGTTGACAAATTTGTCTTCAGATGTGAAAGCTAAGTTTTAAAAATGTGTTTAATCTTGAAAACCCAGTGTTTTCTCGAAATCCAGAAGATGCTTCTTTAAACCTAGCTCTTGCGACTCCTACATGAGTCCATTTAAACATATGGAGGTGTAGGTGGTGCTGGCCACTCACCCGGCTCGTGTGCTGTGCCGACCTTCATAGGTGATCGCTAACAGCACTTGCCCCAACAGTCTGTTCAGGCTATACGGGGGTCTTTGTGGGGAACGGTAATGTAGCGGTTAGCGCACTGCACTATAAACCCAGTGTCCCGAGTTCGATTCCCGCTCACGGCCAACACCAGTGACGATTATCTGAACCGGTCTTGATCCTCCTCTCCTAGGTCGACTCAGCGTCAAATGAGTACTTGGTACAGTGTGTAAACATCACCACTGGGAAGACAGAGGTGGTCGGGCGTGGTCCTGGCCACCCACCCCCTTGTGTACCGTGCCGGCCATCATAGTTGCTCGCTACCACCACTTGCCCCAACAGTCAGTTAAGGATATACAAGGGATATTTGTCTTTGTTTCGTGTAACATGGCAGGGCTTTAACAACTTCAGTATCGTTTTCACACGGAGGCACGCTCACGGTTGTTTCCTGGTGTTTTGACTCTCAGGTGAGTCAGTGAAGCAAGCCGATGTGATCCTCCTTGGCTTCCCTTTGGGGTTTCCCATGAGCGCACAGATGAGGAAGAACGACCTGGAATTTTACGAGGAAGTGACAGACCATGATGGGCCTGCCATGACCTGGGTACGATTAAACTTGCAGAAATTAACTTTCCATGAGTGGTTTGTTATTAAATATGTACGTATGTTTCTTGGTCGTAATCGCATCTTGTACAAGTGGCCAAACCATAGTTGCCTTGGCAATTAAACACAATACTATACATATACTCTTTGGTTATTTCGGTAAAGTCACGTATAAAGATAAAATAATAAATTAAATACTAGCATACGACGTTTCGATTGCAACACAAGCAATCATCATCAGGTATAAATGAAATAGAAACACAAATCTAGTATACTTAGAAATGTAATGTAATACAACAGAGAGTCGGTTGATTACGTTCTTCCTGAGAATGCTAAATTTGAGAGAGAGATGAAACAGAACCAGAGACATATAAAGTCACGTAGAAGGAAAATAAGACAATACAAATAAAACAATAAAATAATTCTCACGACGTTTCGGCCACGACGCAAGTAGCCGTCTTCAGGTGGAGAACAGGCCTGTCGAGAAGGCAGAGTCTAAATGGCACGCCCCAGGCTTGGAGCGACTTTATGCTGGGATGGAGGGGCGAAGAGCGTCTTTACAAAATAATGTGCATATCAAGAGGAATTTAGCATATTTATGGGAAATGCAGATATGCGATTAGTTCTACTTGTGAAATGCGTAGGAGGTTTGGCGAGGGGTTTAAAGTCATTATGCCCATGCATTATGCAGGATTAGCAGTATCAAAGGGAGGGAGTAAGGTTAGACTTAATAAAGGGAAGGAATGTTAATAATATGGCGCCGCAGCAACTAATATGCTTATAGACTATACATTGTAATATTACACTATGTATTATTCTACCCACCCAACTGTATACCACACTGCTATATATTCACTATACAATTACGATACTATATATTGTCTTATACATTGTATTAACCATTACATTTTAATACTATTTATTATTATTATAAAATATGCTATACACTATACCATTGACCGTCGCGTGAAAGGTACTAAGAGGAAGCAACGAAATATGTCAATGGGAGAGTGGTGGTAGGAAGCTTGCAGCGGAGCAAAGAATCCATTCCTTGCGGAGAATACAAGATATATAGTCAATGTCAGTGAGTGGACTGCGGTCTGAAAGTCCATGGTCCTCTTGATATGCACTCCGCAGGGAATGGATCCTTCGCTCCGCTGCGAGCTTCCCACCACCACTCTCCCATTGACATATTTCGTTGCTTCCTCTTAGTACCTTTCATATTGTATAATAATAAATAGTATTAAAGTGTAATGTTTAATACAATGTATAAGGTAATATATAGTATCGTAATTGTATAGTGAATATATAGCAGTGTGGTATACAGTTGGGTGGGTAGAATAATACATAGTGTAATATTACAATGTATAGTCTATAAGCATATTAGTTGCTGCGGCGCCATATTATTAACATTCCTTCCCTTTATTAATTCTAACCTTACTCCCTCCCTTTGATACTGCTAATCCTGCATAATACATGGGCATAATGACTTTAAACCCCTCGCCAAACCTCCTACACATTTCACAAGTAGTACTAATCGTATATCTGCATTTCTTATAAATATGCTAAATTCCTCTTGATATGCAAATTATTTTGTGAAGACGCTCTTCGCCCCTCCATCCCAGCATAAATAGTCACTCCAAGCCTGGGGCGTGCCATTCAGACTCTGCCTTCTCGACAGACCTGTTCTCCACCTGAAGACGGCTGCTTGCGTTGTGGCCGAAACGTCGTGAGAATAATTTTATTATGTTTTATTTTTATTATTTTATTATTTTCCTTCTACGTGACTTTACCGAAAGAACCAAGAAGATGAATCCCTGCAGTCACGAAAGCTTTAAATCGAAATCAGAGACATATAGACAGACATATAAGCAGATATATCACAGAGATACATAGCGAGAGACAAACATGTTGGAAAACTAACGATTGCAGTATTCATCAATTTACCGGTGTAGATTAATGCTCTATTGCATTCTTATTTGTCTAAAATGTACCTGGGACATTGTAAAATGTTTTTTAAAACCCAGACACGTGAGGCCAAATAAGAGTATGTTTAAGGAGTCCTTGCAATATTCGATGAGAAACAAGAGCATTGACATTTTGACTTAAAACTTTAGGGACTGCAGGAATTAATATTCTTTGGTTATTTCGGTAAAGTCACATAGATAGAGAAAAAAAATATAAAGTGAATAAAAATAATAAAAATAACATCCTGGTTCTTAATCTGAGTGAGTGTACTGGCATTCTATAATGTAGACTGTAGCAATGGTTATTAAGTTTGGTGAGTGTACTGGCAGTCTATAATGTAGACTGTAGCAATGGTTATTAAGTTTGGTGAGTGTACTGGCAGTCTATAATGTAGACTGGAGCCTGGTTCCTAACCTCGGTGATAGTACTGGCAGTCTATAATGTAGACTTAATCTTTGATTCTTTCGGTAATTACATTTACTACTACTATCATCACTTACATTAACATTAGCTGCCCTGCCTATGCTGCTACACCTGAGCTACGCCCATGTTAAACCTTTACCTGGCAGCCCTTTAATTGGTGGACGCCGTCGTGGCCCACGACTACCATCAGTTACATTAACATTAGCTGCCCCGCTCATGCTGCTGACACTTGGGCTACACCCATTTTAAACCTTTATAAACAGTTTGCCTTCAGAGGCTAACCTCCCTTTCCTTGATGATGCCCGCTTGTGTTGCGATCGAAATGTAGTGGTTTAAATGTTTTTGTTATTACTGAAAGAACCAAAGAATAAGTCTACATTATAGACTGCCAGTATGCTCACTCAGGTTAAGAACCAGGCTACAGTCTACATTATAGACTGCCAATACGCTCGCCAAGCTTAAAACCAGGCTACAGTCTACATTATAGACTGCCAGTACACTCACCGAGATTAAGAACCAGGCTACAGTCTACATTATAGACTGCCAGTATGCTCACCGAGGTTAGGAACCAGGCCACAGTCTACATTATAGACTGCCAGTATACTCACCCAGCTTTTTAACCATTGCTACAGTCTACATTATAGACTGCCAGTACACTCAATCAAATTAAAAACCAGGATTTTTATTTTATTATTTTTAGACACTTTATTTTTCTATCTACGTGACTTTACCGAAAGAACCAAAGAATAGGAAAAGCATTGACAGTTGAATCTAATTAAAGCTCAAATCATTATCTGCAAAGAGTTTGAAAATATAATAGTAATACATGAGCCATTACTAAATGTCTCAATCAAATGCAAATCGCAGATGTGGAAATGTGTCTTAACACACATCACGTATTATCAGCTTTGCAGTCATTAGATACTGTCAAAAAATGTATATATAAAACACTTATGACTGTGAGTGTTGTGAGTAGAGATTTAATTTATGTCGATGTATGTGAATTTCTTTATGTTGCAATGTGTCGTTGTTGCACACAGAGTATGTTTGCAGTGGGGTGGCTTGAAATGAATGATTCCGAAAAGGCCAAGAAGATGATTACGAGGTGCTATCAGAACATTCATGAGCCCTTCAAGGTAACCTGAGCAAAATTCTGGGCTGCTTCCCATGGGAGCCACAGATAACCACAGTCACTTAAACTCCCTTTTCGTCAGCAGCATCCGGGCATTCCAGTACTTTCCAAGTGCAACTTTTAATGCAAGTGGTAATATACATGCATGTTAATATGCTATAATACATTATTTTTGGTGAAATTGCGTTGGAAGTGGTCACACTTACAAATAACCAAACAAACCCTTTACACATTCATCAATGATGCTGCCTTAAATGTAAAAATTATATAATACTAGCAGGAAGTACCCGGCGTTGCCCGGGCGAAAAATACATTTCAAAACTTCTCTTAAAAACCTTACATATACATACACAGATACTAAGTTATTGTGAAAGCCCGGTGGGCCGTTTATCCATTTCTCCACTAACCAAATTATAAGAGGCTTGCAGAAGTCTAAAAAGTTATAGAAAGTGGGGGATAAATGGTTGATCTAAAAGGTTACCGAAAATTGTCGACCCCCCCCCCCCTCAAAATATATATTTACTCCCGCGTATGTATATATACCGACACACCCTATATACAACAGAGCAAGTAGTATCTATTGACTCTGTAGTTGTATCTCCTGACTGTACAGTAGCATCCACTGAGCCAGTAGTAGCTACTGACTGTATAGTAGTATGTATATTCTTAGGTTATGAATCCTTGCAGTCATGAAAGCTTCAAATCTAGAATTAGTAGTACTGTATGTACTGACTCTAGCAGTTTTTACTGACCGTAGTGGTACATACTAACTGTTTTAGTATCTGCTAACTCTATATAGCAGTATCTACCAACTCGATAGCAGTATCTACTATCACTACAGCAGTGCATAGTGACTGTGGTGGTACCTGCTATCACTGCAGCAGTGCATACCGACTGTGGTGGTACCTGCTATCACTACAGCAGTGCATACCGACTGTGGTGGTACCTGCTATGACTACAGCAGTGCATGCCGACTGTGGTGGTACCTACTATCACTGCACCAGTGCATACCGACTGTGGTTGTACCTGGTATGACTATAGCAGTGCATACCAACTTTGGTAGGACCTGCTTTCACTACAGCAGTGCATAGTGACTCTGGTGGTACTTGTTTCAACGACAGCCGTGCATACCGACTACAGCAGTGCATAGCGACTGCGGTGGTTCCTGCTATCGCTACAGCAGTGCATACCGACTTTTATGGTAGCTGCTTTCACTACAGCAGTGCATACCGACTGGTTGTACCAGGCTATCACTACAGCAGTGCATACCGACTGTGGTGGTAACTGCTATTATTACAGCTATGCATACCGACTGGTGGTACCTACTATCACTGCACCAGTGCATACCGACTGTGGTGGTACCTGCTATGACTACAGCAGTGCATACCAACTTTGGTAGAACCTGCTTTCACTACAGCAGTGCATACTGACTCTGGTGGTAATTGCTTTAACTACAGCAGTGCATGCCCACTGTTGTGGTGTCAGTCGATGTGTGTGTGTTAGTCAATGTGTATGTGTGGTGTGTGTGTGCACAACTAATATTTCACAAATACCTTACTAAATTTTTTAATAATAATGTGTGTCTAAGTCAATGTGTGCGTGTGAGTCGATGTGCGTGTCCGCGTCAATGTGTGTGTGTGAGTCGATGTGTGTGTGCGTGAGTCGATATGTGTCTGTGTCAGTCGCGTGTATGTGTGAGTCGATGAGTGTGTGTGGGGAGCGATAGTGTAGCGGTGAGCGCGCTGCATTATGAACCCGGCGACACGGGTTCGATTCCCAGTCACGGCCAACACCAGTGACGATTATCTGAACCGGTCCTGGGCCTCCCCTAGGTGGGCTCAGCCTCAAATGAGTACTGTACCTGGTGTGGTTAAACATCACCACTAGGGAGACAAAGGCGGTCGGGCGTGGTGCTGGCCACCCACCCTCTCGTGTACCGTTCCAGCCTTCATCGGTGCTCGCTAACAGCACTTACCCCTACAGTCTATTAAGGCTATATGGGGCATCTTTGTCTGTTTATTTTGTGTGTATAAGTGATATTAAAAAATCAATTGTGTGTGCGTCGAAATCGATGTATGTGATTCGATGTCTGTGTGTGTGAATCCGTGTGTGTAGGGCGTTGTGTGTTTCAGTCTATGTATATGTGTGTATGTGAGTCGATGTACGTGTGTGTGTAAGTCAATGTGTGTGTACGTTTGTGTGTGTGTGTGTGTGGGGGGGTCTATGTGTGTGTGTGAGTCGAAGTGTGTAAGTCCATATATGTGTGTGTAAGTCGCTGTGTGTGTGCAAGTTGATGTGTGTGTGGGTCGATGTATGTGTGTGTGTAAGTCCATGTGTTTGTGTGTGTCAGTCCATATGTATGTGTTAGTCAATGTGTGTGCGTGTACAACTAATATTAAAAAATTAGGTTACTAAATTTGAAAAAAATAATGTATGTGTCTAAGTCCATGTGTGCGTGTGAGTCCATGTGCGTGTCTGCGTCGATGTGTATGTGTAACTCCATGTGTGTGTATCTAAAGTCGATGTCTGTGTGTGTGAGTCCATATTTGTGTAGGGCGTTGTGTGTGTGAGTCTGTGGTGCCGGACAGGCAACGCCTGTCGTGGGCAGTGCTGTGGGGGGAGGGCCAATTCCGGCCTTTCCCCTTATGGCGTTTGTGACCACCACAGCAGGCAAATGGGGGCTCTGGATGGGTGCGAGGGGCTGGTAAACCCTCCACCTTCAATTAATTACCGCTAAACCACGAGGGAAAATTGTAATTAATAAGCTTGTGCCGGAGGCCCGAGTGGGACAGGCGTCTATGACGTCTCCTGGCCAAACCCCATTTGGTGGAACTAGGAGACTTCCTTACCCTCGGGGCTCCTCCAGAAACAGCAAAAAACCACTACACTGGAGGATACTTTTTAAAAATACAATAGTATAAATAAAAGCGTAGAGATAAATAATGAAAGTATTTATTATCTCAGATTTGCTGATGACATTATTCTTCGTAACTTTTGCCATACATTACCGAAATTGATTGAACTTAATAAAAACAAGGCTGCAAAGTGCTGCTAAAAAAAGTAATACGAACAAAACTGGAAACACAGAGTATGCACCACCGATATCACGGTTGGTTACGTGTGGTATTTATAGAAATTCAGCATACATGCACATCCATGCCAAGGACAGTAATTGAAGGTGGACCATGTTAAAAATGTTGAAATAAAGAGGTCGATAAGAACAGAATGGAGTTATTTTTGTTTTACTTAGTCATGAACAGCAACATAGCAATGTGCATAAAAAATGTAAGTGTTTAGTCAGTATTATATTAGCATTCATACTCTTTGGTTCTTTCGGTAAAGTCACGTAGGTAGAAAAATGTAATAAAAAATAATATATCACGACGTTTCAATCGCAACACAAGCGGGCGGAAAAAATAATCCAGCAGTGGAACTGCTGAACCAGCGAGAGAGCGGTTACAACAAGAGGTTAAATATGTGGCGAAGGGCAACCAGGCGGGGTCTGAGCTGGAAAGGAATTCCATCCCCGGACGAAAGGACGTCAGTTGTGTTAATGGGGGAACTTCCGGAGAGAGATTAGATGGAAATGAGCTTCCGTCGCCGCATAAGAGTATCGTTCCCGCATATCGCACAACAGCAGTGTTAATGGAAGATTAGCACGATGTTGATGGGAGAGATTAGGCAGGGAGATTAACGGGATTAGCAAGTTAATGTCATGTCTATGTGTAACACAAGCTGCGGCGCTGCCAACTGCGTGAGGCAAGCGCGTTCACGCAAGAGAACCACCGCAACGGTGGTCGCGCCAGTGAGACAAACAGCCCATCACACAGTCAGAACCATCGATACCTCGATGCTAAGGGAGCAGAGGTGGCCATGTTAGTGAGACCCCAGCCTGTTAATGCAGAGGCACCCAATAGGACAATGCAACTCAGGGAGTCAGAGATAACAGCCAAACGGCAGGAAGGATGGAAGCACCACAGCAAGTTACGAATTTATTTGGTTAATAACGTCCTTCCAATGATTGCTCAGCTTATACCCATCTTCTCGGTTGAAATTGTCTCTGTGTTTATATATCTGGATGGCTTCATGGACAAATCTTTCATGGTAGCCCGAAGGTTTGCAGTGTACCTTGGTCTCAGAAAAAACAATATCGTGCGAGCCCACTGCGTTATAACAATGATCAGCCACGGCAGAGGTATTGGTTCTACCGTGTTGTATATTACTTTCTATAATATACGGATCATGAACATGGATCCTTGAGAAAGCATGTAGAATGAAAGCAGAGGTACCGAAGGAAGCGTGCAGAGGTGTATACTTCGTATTGCATGAGAGGAAATGAAGATAGAGCAATGAAGATCGGCTTTTGTGCAGGAGCCAGATAGATTTGTGGCATCACAGAAGCATGACGGATGGAAACAATGAGGGGAGGTCTTCATTCAGACGTAGATTGATAATGCTGACCATTATGATTCAGTGTGGGCATTGGTTTAACGCCTTCTTTAACATTTATGCATTTTTCTTTGGAAAGTGCAGGTGTGGAGTGAAAACCCGGATGGCTCTGGAGCTGTGAATTTCCTCACAGGAATCGGAGGATTCCTGCAGGCAAACCTCTTTGGATACTTTGGAATAAGGTACATGTCTTGCACGTTACACACTTCGCTGGCAGATGTGATTCGAGCTCTCGCGCTTCCTTTGGAGATGTGCACCGAGTTGCACGTATGACTCGTATCTTAAGCAAGGTACATCCATGGGCACAAACTCACCAAACAAGGGAAGAAAATCCCATGTTTACATAGGCTTGCAACATCAGCGATTTGCAGGTGTAATAATCTACATTATTTTAGTTTATAAATAATATTTGACAGATGAATAGTGACCGTAGTATTGGTTATAAAATATATGGTAATTTATTAAATACAGGTTAAACTGACGGTCATGTGCAAATAATGATTACTAGCGATGGCAATATGGATTATTATAGGTCGAAGTAAATTTTGTATAGGAAACCGGTCACCGAGGTGATGGAGGGTTGTGGGCCATAGTAGAGCAAGTGGCAGGGCTGTTGGACAGGGAGTTGACAATGCAAGTAGGAAGGATAACACTTCTACCTTACTCTCTGGTTCTTTCGGTAAAGTCACGTAGATAAAAAAAACACGACGTTTCGGTCGCAACACAAGCGTCCGTCTTCAGGTGTGAAAAAATTATCTGCTGTTGTGGCTTTATATAGGCACGGGAGGGGAGAGGGAAGGGGGGTTGGAAGGAGTTTGGCTGTGGGAGTTCAGAGGGGGGAGGGTTTGTGGCGTGCAGGGACGGGAGGGGGCTAGCATCGGGTGGAGAGGGGAGACGGGTTTGTGGCGTGCATGGACGGGTGGGCTAGAGAAATTAGCAAGTAAATGGACTTGTAGTACAAGTCGTAATCGGACGACAACAACCGGGTGGGTGAGTGAGGACGACGACAACCGAGTGGGTGAGTGAAAATTATAGCAGTTAAAAGTTGACGTGGTTTATCACATCCTTCCAATGATTGCTCAATCTGAATCCATATTCTCGATTGAAGTTTTGTCTGTGTTTGTATATCAGGGTGGCTTCATGAACAAATCTCTGAAGGTGGCCCGAGGGTTTGCAGAGCACCTTGGTCTCGGAGACAACAATGTCACCGCGTGTGCCCACAGTGTTGAAACAATGATCCGCCACCGCCGTGGAGTTGGTTCTGCCGTGTTTCAAATCCGCTTTGTGTTCTCGAACCCAGACCTTAATTGGCTAGTAATGCATGCTCAAGTCACACACTTATAAATAAGAGAATAATTGAGATCAGAAGCCTAACCTAGTACAATAAAAAAAAATCAGTGCTACTGCATTGGCAGTGTTGCAAAAACACAAATAACATAATAACACTTTGTCACAAAGGATATGCAGTAGGCCTTCTGTTTAGCACATAATTTAATCGAGTGCATTTCTTACGAGTGACATTCAAGGTGAATAAAAAAAAGTATATTAATCGACAGCAGATGCGGGTGGAAGATGAATTTCGATTGTAATGAAAGTTACATTTGGACTCATTCATGGAAATTGTAAAACATATTCAAGGCTCAGTGTTATGCATATTTAAAACTGCAGTGGTAGCATTTAACATGCTAAGTTTATATTTACATATTAAGTAGTGATTCTAGACCAGAATGAACAATCATTTGACTCAATTTCTCAATTATCAGCAACATCAAGCTCGTTAGAAATGATATAATTTTGTCTTTTAAATACTCTCATTTTATTTTGCTGTCTAGGATAACAAAGGAAGGTTTAAAATTCAACCCGAATATTCCCGACAACGTTTCAGAGGGTGTGGTGACTGGCTTGACTTACCTGGGCAACAAAATTAAGTTTTCTGCAACAGTAGCCAATGTGGTGCTGACGGTGACTGCAATAGACGAAGCTTCACACACAGAACTGGAGGTGGTGGTGAGCAGCACCGAGAAAGTCTTCCCTCTGCTCCTGAGTAAGGCCACACTATTCTGCAACAGATATATCTTCACATCTTAGATAACGTATCTCCTTCATCTTTTACTCGGCACACCCCGTTTATATAGAATGCACACTTTTTCGTCATGTTTCGCCATTTTTCTCTCATCATTTTAAAAAGGTTCATTAGTTCACAATATATATCTATATTAAGCTGACCACAGATTCAAGCCATTACCAAAGTATTGTAAAAAATACATTTCATTATCATAGGCAGCGTTAAATGCATTTAGCAGTGTGTAAAGTCAAAGTCTGATAATACATTATTTTTGACCATTCAACCGTTTATTTTATTCACGGCAGTCTTTAAACTCACAATGTATTGTTACCCAAGGATTTCAAGTGATGTACAGATAAATCAGATGACCGTTTGGCATTAACTTCCCAACTGTTGTTGTGGCCAGAAACGAAATCCCACACTGGAGCACAGCCCCCATTACTTTACCATTGGTGTTTGGTTTGTGGGGAATCACACTTATCTGTCCACCTCAAATACAGAGCAGTCGTTGCATGTAAAAAATGGGTGACATTGCCCACTTCGTGTATCATCACAAGGGCATGACTCACTCTGTCTCTCCAGCGACAGTGCAATTGGGGCAGTTTCCCACAGTTTCTAAAGTATAATAGCCCTCTGATTTCTGCTAATATTAGGAGGATTATCCTATTATCCTATTATTTGTTTTTGGCCACGCATTTATCTCGTATCCACACATGAGAGAGTGTCATTAAATAATGGGTTTAATTGGCTGATACTTCCATGGTATCCACACATGAGAACAGACAATAGAATGAATGACGTACATTTGCAGTCAAACCTATGGACAAGCGCAGATAATAAGACGACTTTGCCACAACTTACAAGTTAGGTGAATATTCCAGAATCTCCATTGTCCATCCATAGACTCCCCATTCATTTTAATGCAGATTCAATTGAAGTCGATTGGATTTTAATGGCGATTCCACATCACATATGAGAAAGCAAGCTTTAGAAATCCTCATAAAAGATCCTGGCGATTCTACATCTACAAAGATCCCACAATCCCTTTAGGAGTCTTAATCCAAGAATCAAAATTAGTATTACAAGATAGTCATCTTGGGATACGCCCAATACTAACACTCATCTGTGTTAGTAACAAGTTGATACACTTGTAGGTCGTTCTGGTGAGGCGGTGTGGAACCCAAACCACCACAGTTCAGATAATATAACCCAGGAATAATTGACATGATCAGTGGGCAACTCTCCTTGCTTGTGAATTGTCTTATCCTCGGTCTCATTCATCCGCATTATTGTTTTATTAATGAATTACTAAACACATTTTCATTGTTATGAATAAATGTAAGTCCAAGGACTTGAGTTTATAAAGTAAATGCTAATATGTTTATGAAATGTATGTTTTTTTCTGAATGTGCTGCGTGAGAGATTCCAACGTAGCCACCTTTGATGTGTTTCAGAAAAGCCAGTCACCTTCCCGACGTCTCCTGGAAGAATTCAGATGTTGCATTGAGATCATAATTCATGAACATTTATGTTTTTATGACAAAGTACACTTTTCATTCCTATGACAAACATGCCTTGAAGAAGGCATTGGATGTGATCTTGGTATATAAGTTCAAGTCAATATGAGTTTGTCTCATGCCTTGCACTGGTTGCAAAGTTACAATCATAACAGTATAATGCTTGAATTTATATGGTGCTTAAATGCCTCTGCAACTCAAAGAGCTTTACATCGTATCTCAACTCATGTTTTTATGGGAGGATTACATTTATGTGTGTACAATATGGAAAATGTATCCATTGTGCCACAATCTTCTTTGTGTTGTTTTTTACAAAAATGTAGATTACTGTTTAACATTGAATACCATATATATCATGGATAGTCTTTCACATATTTTACATTAATGTTTTATAATTTAGATGTTTAAATTGATATATTATATCAATGATATTCTTTGGGTCTTTCGGTAAAGCCACGTAGATAGAAAAATATATGAAAGCAAAGAAAACACGACGTTTCGGTTGCAACACAAGCAATCGTCATCCTGCTTCACCAGCTCTCCCGCTATATTTTTTTCACCTGATGACGATTGCTTGTGTTGCGATTGAAACGTCGGGATATTTTTTTATTAGTTTTATATCTACGTGGGCTTTACCGAAAGACCCAAATAATATGAATTCCTGCAGTCATGAAAGCTTTAAGTGACGTCACGCGATTTTGGCCGATTTTTGACCCCCCCCTCCCCCCCTCATCACACGGCGTCACGAAAAGTCAGACCCCCCTCAAATATGACGTCACAAAGGTTTGCCCCCCCCCCCCAAAACCATATTTCCATTTTGAAAATAAAACATACTTCAAATAACTGTAAACTATTGTCATTGTAGTGCGTATTTAATGTGGCGCTGCACTCTGATGTTGTAGGAGAAAACGTATTAAAAAGGAGGCGTTCGAAAGCTGGAATTTAGCATAAAATTCACTTGCAGATGTTCAGAATATGTATTGAAATTCTATTATAATTATCAAATATTAAAAGTAATTATAACTGTAAAAAATACTTGAAACTTTGTCGTAGAACGAAGCAAAATGGAGAGTACAATTATAAAAATCACATTCATTCCACAGAATGAAAAGCCCTGGTAGAATCATTAGAATAAAAATGTTTCATAGCAATCATTATATATTTTTTATAAAATGTACGCTTCTCGATTCTCCCATGGAGAAGCAAAATGCTCCTTCATAGATTAAATAGGGAGAGCATGGATCTCTTCATCCTGTGGAATGGATATTCCATTCAGATCAAGCTCTTCGTCTATCCAATCTGCACTCTTTACATTTTCTTCGTTCGCGATTGCAACCATTAGTTCACGTTGCCGACGCGCAGCGACTCTCTGTGGCCTGATGCGTTTGGGCGGAATAATAATTGATTCATGTTTGTGTGTTACAAATTGGTTGCGTAGCATGACTAACGACGCGAGAAGTATGTGTGACTTCTTGCAAATCCTATCGCTAAGCACAGTTTTTATTGACGAACAATACAAGTCATATGGAATCGACCGATAAGGATTTGAAGAGGGAGGAAGGATGTCATCCACTTTCAAACTTTGTGCTGCAAACATAGATGGGAATTCATGAGATGCTCCGTCTGTTGTCGTTCTGGAATTTTAAGACCTTCGCTTGTTTGAACAACTGGTAAAGGAGGAGGAAGAAATCTGTCTGTTACCACACTAAAATAGGAGCGTCTTGGTTTCAAACAGCACTTGTTGTCGGAGCATTTTACAATCGGTGTCAAGTATTGGCTTGTTCGTACGTGGACATACCATTTCTGATATCTGGACAAGAGGTTTTGTTCCTGGAGCTCAGACTCGTTTGGCTCGATGTATTCCGCCACTGTCGGAAAATTATCGACCATCAACTGTGACCAAATTTCGGCTAGAGTGTTTTCTGCAAACTTTAAATTTTTCATCTCTAAATCAGCGTCGATGGTAATGCCTCTTTCGTTCAAATAACTACCGTAGTGGTCATGTGGTAATATCAATCCAGTAAGTTCCTTACTGAGTGGCGCCATTTTTCTCTCGACCATAATAAATGCGCTTCTTCCTGGAGCGTTGGTGGCGAGGAATATAGCGTCGAAATCATGCTGAAGAAAGTGGTGGACCTTAATCACGTTTTGGTGTCTCGGGTTCTCGTCCGGGTCACCATCAACTGTCGACACCAAAATTGGTTTGACCAATCGATCAATACCACTCCTTGTAATGACGTCAAACTCCTCGAGAGTAAGCAAGTTTTCCGAAATCAAATTTATGGCTGAATGCTGTTTATAACGAGTGTTTTCCAGATGTAATTGCTATGTAGGTCGGTCCCGAATAACCAACAGCTTCTCGGTTTCCTAGACCATTAGACTGAATTTGGATTCCGGCATAGACCGAAGGAATTAGCTTGTGTTCTGCAGCCACAACCCAGTCATGGTCAGGCAGACTGACTCTGTACTCGACGTGCATCAGCAATGGACTTTGCTTGTTAGCAGCGGTCAACCCTGTTGGAACACGAGCTTTGTCGTCTTAACTCACAAAGCACACAACGTTCGGTCCTAGCATGGACGCCAACTCTTCCAAGTGCCTTATTGTTGCTGTACAAAACAAACCTTCGATATGTTTGGCATTACGATCGTTCTGTGCTCTATTGGAGTTTCACAGGGACCGTTGACACATGACGCTGCCCTTCAAGAGATGAACTGCGCTTTAGAAAAAATTAACCCGTAAAAACAAAGTTTTTCACTATAAATCCTTTATATGCGTGGCGGCTAGAGTCCTCTCGTCCTCTGGCTTGAGATGGCTGCCACCTATGGGTCAGATGATTGCCTGCCACCATTAAGCAATTGGTAATTAAATATAATTTTTTTTTCCTTAAAAGTGTAAAAATTTGGAAAAATAATTTCACGAAAATTAATTGTCACGCAGAACGAGTCTGTGTGCAAAATGTCAGCTCGATTGGAGCACGGGAAGTGGGTTAAAAAACGACCGAAAGATTTGTACGGTCGTAAGCGCGCAAGCAAGCAAGTGAACTTAATATAAAGGATTTAAAAAGACGAAGGTAGAGCCATCCATCTTCAACTGTTCGGTCAGCTGATCGAATGCGTTTATGCTTCTGTACACGTCGCTTTGCCTTCTTTCATGCAATGCCGATCCATGCATAGCAATATCCACAATAGCTTCCAGTAATGAAGGCTGATCTTCCTCAATTTTCGGCCTTCCAAGCTTGGCCCTGACGTTCAGAGATGTGTGTAGGTCTGGATTATCTTCAAACAGAGCATTTCATTTTCTATTCTTTTCATCTCTTGCTTTCTGTGCTTTTTTTTTAACACCCTTTTTCTTCGACTGGTTTTCCAATTCAGTTTTTTTTTTATTTTTCTCTGTCAGGTCCACATCCTGTTGCTGTGTAAGCATTCCACGTTTTTGGCGTTCGTACAAGCCGATCAGATCACAATTCAGAATGTCAATCTGTGACTGCAAATGCAGCTGTGCTGTAGCACTTCTTGATGTTGCCGACTTGCTAGTACTAGGCGCTGAATCATCAGCCTGAGCATCAGTCACTTGTCCATCAGACTACGATACAGAATTCTGCGGTATTTCGACAGGCACATTTTGGAGGTTTTTTTATCGACATGATCTTTGTTTAGCCCAAAACGTAAGAAGTGATCCTTTTATTACGGTGGAAATCGCCTTTAATTATTGCAACCAATGATCAACTTTAACATACTCTTTGGTTCTTTCAGTAAAGTCACGTAGGTATAACATAAAATAAATTGTGATTTATTGTATTTTATACCTACGCGACTAGATTGATCAACTTTAACTTGCAAATCTGTATCATTTTTTATTTTATTCCACTTTTGAACCAGTTCTTCTAGGCAAACCTTTTTGCTCATTGTAGGATATGCCAGCACGTACGCGTCAACAAGACACTGATAGATTTAAATTTTTATCCATCATAGCGGTCAATTCGCTTTAAAAAACATATTTGAGATTTTATTGGTATAATATCAACTTTAATTATAATATTTTATACATGTATATTTGAATTATTATTTGAGTTGAAAGTAATGACGAGCCTTACTATTTTAAATAGATAGCGTCAAATAAATTAATTATTTGATTACCTATTCTATGATTATTTGATTACTATGATTGCTCAATTATCTCAGAATAAAACTGATACGAAATATAAAAAAGAGCTAGTACGGAGCACCTTTAGAGAAACATGTAAAAGAAACATTTCAATTATATGCGCAATTTATTTTATTTGTGCAAATGATTAGTTCTTGCGCAGAATTTATTATTTTTTGCGCATAAAATACTAAATCGTGCACACGATATACTGAATCATGAGCGGTTTTATTCTTTTTTCATTTCCATAAGGGAACTCCGTAGTTAAATAAAATATCCTAAATGGTTAAATTCAGTCGCTCATGGTTCATAGTAAGACAAGGGTGAAATGAAGCATGACGACATTTTCTGGTTACAAAGAACAAAAATTTAATGGAGGAATAATTAATCAAGGAGGACGCGTTGGCCATTGTACGCTTGCCGAATGACGTATATTTAGTAGGTACTCCATGATTAATTATCCCTCCATGCTTAAAAATGGCTGTTATCTTTGTACCCAAAAACTTTTCTCTCTATATTATTAGAAATGTTATCGTAGCATAATAGTATAAAAATGTAATACTGTTATAAAAAATGTATATTTAATAAACAAATGTGTGATTTAAAATTGAGATTAAGAATAATTCTGCCAATATTTTTTGAAAATAATAAATCGGGGTGTAGCGTGGGGCACAAAAAAAATAACAAAAACCCTCACCCCTCACCCCTCGCCCCGCTGCCCTCACCCCTCACCCCGCTGCCCTCACCCCTCACCCCGCTGCCCTCACCCCGCACCCCTCAGCCCGCTGTCCTCACCCCTCACCCCGCTGCCCTCACCCCTCACCCCGCTGCCCTCACCCCTCACCCCGCTGCCCTCACCCCTCACCCCGCTGCCCTCACAAGTCAGACACGAAGGCAGCTGGAGATAAGCCATGAACATGTAACACTCCGACCGTGAAGGAAGGAAGGAGCCAGGCCTTGATGAAACAACTTATCACTCCAATAAAATTAGAACAAACACACACGTACCCAAAACAGCGGGGAACACAAATCTCCCCGGACGAGGGGTGACGAAACAGGCAACGTATTTTTTTGTTGTTGTTTTAATACAACGGTAAAAGTTCGAAACTTAGCGACAAGAAGTCGACATCATAGTCTACCAACACACTCACCAAGATAAAAAAAAATAAAAAACAGATTGTAGTCCAAATTAGTGGCCTGGTATTATTAATGACCTTATTTTACTCTCATTTACGTCACATTCTTATTATATATTGCTATCTACGTGACTTTACCAGAAGAACCAAAGAATATGAATTCCAGCAGTCACGAAAGCTTAAGTGAAAACTTAGTTAGATTTCCAACCTCAGGATATCAAAATATAACTCGAGTATAAACAGTACGGATCCCTGGATACAGACGGGGAACAAAGGTTAATTAAACCCTAGGAATATACGTGGTAATAACGATGATAAATCACAAATCTTTGGAAACATAAACCAAATAATAATTATGAAGTATTAGACCGAGGGTCATCCAGAAGAGATACAAATAGGTCAATCACACATGACCAAGATAAAATGTATTCCATATAGAGAAAGCCTCCCAACCGCCTTTGTCTTCCAGAATAGCCATACAATCACAAAGGGAGAGACTGCGCCCCTCTCAAAAGAGAAACACAAATATAACACCCCACCATGAGGGAAGAGGGGGGGATGCAAACAGGCAAAATGAACTCTTCCATCCAGAGTAATTATTACAAAAGTTTAAAAACTAGGAAAACACCGAAAGGCAATTTGGAGCATCTGTTTTCCACGGATGAAAAGGTGACTTGAGAGGGGCAGGAACCAGGCCAGGGTGAGACTTAACAGATTACTTAATAAATCAGAACATACACACACACCAGGACACGTACTCGTATAACTTCCCCCACAGCAAAGAGCGAAATCAAATGAGGTTCCGGTCCTTTGTGAGAAGGCGAGCCGAGGGGCGAGAATTCCACCTAAAAACAGAGACACGACCCATACATTGTCAGTGCTGCGATCGGCAGGGTCCGGGAATCTGCCCCCGTGACTGGCACATCGTCAACGAGCTGCATCAGCAGCAGCCACGAGTCTACGAAGTCAATGCAAAGAGTTGAGTACTGCAAGCGGCAAGCTCCGGGGCTGGGCCCTGCAATCGACCAAGGATGGCGAAGCTTGCCGAGCCGCGATGTGTCACCGAGTGTGAGTTCAGAGCTGAAAGACGAAGTATTGCAAAAAGTTAATTCAACATTGAGTGCCAGCTCCCACCAGCAGCTGCAGCCCGAGAGAAAGAGTGATGAGCAATGTCAAGCAATCAACCTGGAGAAAGGGCGGAAAGCGTCAAGCATCGACCAAGCCAGCATTGCAGAGGACCAGCTGCAAGCACAGTCGTGCACTGCCAGAGAGCACCGAGCAAGGGTGTCAACTTCCAGCCGACGAGCGGCGAGCGCGATCGAGCACCTGCAAA